CTGCTACGTGTAGCAGCGCACGAAGAGTAGTCATCTTCGGGGTCGGGGCGAAGGTCTGAAAGAAGTCCACACCCTCACGCTGACCAAAGCCTCAAGCCATGTAGCGCGCCTTGAACACATGCGGCTCTCCAAGAGGGCGCTTCACCTTAAAGAGCCACCGGCCATCGACTACGTTCACCCCAGGTGGGGGAACTGCGTCGATCGAAGATTCCATCTTCTGCTCCATGACAGCTATCCACTAAGAGGCCCAAAGTCCCGAGGTCGCCTCAGCATAAGTGCGAGGGATCGGGATGTCAAAGGCGTCTGGGTCACCCTCTGGGACTAGGAGCATGGAACAGAGATGGGGAGCAGCCTCAGACAGGAAAGCAAGCTCGTACTGTTTGTCTTCTAGGACGTCACTGCCAAGGGCAGAAGCACCCCTGAAGGACGGAGGATGGACAAGGTCACAGACCAGAGCGGTGGCGTAGTCGAGGCGGCGGGTAGAGGCGAAGTCAGCGACAGCAGCGATAAGAGCGTCAAGACTTCAGACAGGAACAGACGGGTCGGTAACGAGGGAGACAAGGACCCGAGGAACAAGAGGACGACCGGCACGAAGGTAGTCAGACAGAGGGGGAAGCGCGACAACGAGCGACGACAGAGGAGGCGAAGGCAGGAGGGGAGGACGAGACGCGTGAGAACGAAGCAACATAGGGTGAGAATGCTGAACAAAAGAGACAGGACGAGCACGAGAGGGACGGCGAGACCAGACGTGAGATGGAGGCGTCTGGTCAGGTGACAGAGGAGGAGACACAAGAGGGGAACGAGGGGGAAGAAAAGCCGTAGACGAGTCCAGTGGAGGGAACACTGGACCGTAGACAGGAAGGGGAGGAGGGGCCGGGGGAGGCGTAGGAGAGCGGTCAGGGGAGGAAGGCCGCGCAGGCGAAGAGGGGACACCGGTGGCAACTGCTGCTGTAGCTGCTGCTCGACGCCGACACCTGGACCGCCAGCTGCACCACGGCTACCACCGAAAGAATCCACTCCAGCACCCCCAGAACGAGCACCCCCAGAGCGAGAACCCTCTCTAGCACCGGTGCCACCCCCAGACCTGCTGGGACAAGCCACGACAGGAACCCCAGAACTAGCAACCTCCTCAACGCCAGCACCCCCAGAGTCCACGAACGGCTGCTGCGACTGCGGCGGCGGCGGCTGCTACTGGTGCGGCTGTGACGACGGCTGCGGCTGCTGCTGCGGCGGCGACTGCGGCGGCTGCTGTGACGGCGGAGGAGGAGACACCGAGGGAGAGGCACACGGCGAGAACTACACCGCGGGGCCACCAGAGTCAGCCGACTCCTCGACCGGGACAACCGGCGGGAGGGGAGTGACGTGAGACACACCAGACGGAGTAGGACGGGGAGGGAGGTGAGCAGGGTTTACTGGGGGAGTGGGAACCAGAAACAGGATTGGGGAAACCAGGAGACCTCGGTGGGGAAAGCGGTGGTAAAGGGAGACAGACTCGTTGAAAGTGGCGTCACGCGAGTGAAAGAAGCGGTGAGACGGCGGGTGGTAAAAGCGCCAGTCATACGAGTCAAGAGGGAAACCGAGGAAGACACAGGGGATAGTGTGGGCAATGAGCTTGTCCGTGCCAGAGGCACGAACGTGAGCGAGGCAGCCCTAGTTGTGGAACGCGGACGTGTCACCAGAGAACCTGGTCCAAAGAAGGGTTGGCGAAACCTGCGGCCGCTGGGAGCGTGGCCACAGGTTAATCTGGTGAGCGGCGTAGCGAACGGCGAACGGCCACAAAAAATGGGGTGCACCGGCATGAATCATGGAGGTACGAGCCACCTCCATGACCAAACCGATGCGTCGCTCAGCGACCCCATTCTGCTGACAGGAGTCCGGTAGGGTGTACGACTGGGTGATGCCATCCGCATGACAGAACTTTCCAAACCGACCAGAGGCGAACTCGCCGCCACGGTCGGAGTGGAGACACAGCACTGGGAGACCGCGGTGGAGGCGCGTAGCTAAGACCCACGGGATAAGAACGTTAGGCATGTCAGCCTTCCGCTCTAGGGAAAACACTCTGGTGTAGCGCGAGTAGTCAGCGACGAGCACGAGAAAGTAGCGCTCGCGACGCGGCGCAGGGACGGGGGTGGGGCCCAGACTTCCACTTGCAGGGTCTGGAGTGGTGCGGTGGCAGGGCGAAGCGAGGAGGAGTGAGGAGCACGGCGCAGGCGGCCCTCGACGCAGAGCGTGCATGGCAGTGCATGGCGAGGGAGGGAGGGCAGGGAGCGACGCAGGGAGCTGTAGGACAAGACCGTGCTGGGACATGTGACGCACACACGGGAATGCGGGTTGACCTAGATGGTGGTGCCACAGAAGGGACGGGTGAATGAGCGACCGGCACGAGCAAGCCGCAGCGACCTGGGTAGACGCAGGACCCGGGGAGGACGCGCCTACCGGGGGGGAAGCAGTGCCCAGCGTAAACAGGCCAGACACCAGGTCCCAGTGGACATCGCAAGGGGGGCACCTGAGGCGGCCTCGGTACATACAGTGACCGCTTGTGACCAGGGAACGTTGTGGTGACGCCGAGGTCCTGAAGACAGCCGACACCAACTACTGTAAGTTCCTGGAGAACAAAGGGATGTGCAGGCTTGTAAGTGAACCTGAGGGAACCGCTGGACAGGGAAGGGTAGTGTAGCTACGAGCAACGACAGGACCAGAGGAGGGGTCAGCAAGTGCGACGGCAGCAAGATCCGAACACACTAGAAGCGTCAGCATACAGAGAATGCAAGGCAGAACTAATCTGATGCATGTTTTACTGAAAAACAAGCACACTGTGGCGCAGCAGACTGGGCCAGTCATGTAGGTCCGGGTCCAGGTCGAAGCGGCAACAAAAGAGGTCGTCGAGGAGGCGGAAGCAGCGGGCGGTCGGGTGCAGGCGGCGGCGGCACACAGTGCCACAGAGGGGGCCGGTCTGGAGCTGGTACTGGCAGCTTACAGCACCGAAGCTGCCGATATACGCCGAGCTGCGAGGACCGCCACCGCGGTTACCTCCTCCAGAGGCTCCTGGCCACCCCGGCGGGAGGCGGGCCCACGGCTGCTGCTGCTGCTACTGCGACTGCTGCGCCGGTTGCGACTGCTGCTGCACTTGGACGCCAGCCCCAACCCCCCCGTCAGAACCACTGTCCCTGCCACCACTACTACCACCACTAGCACCACCACCACACCCTCCCTTGGGGCCACGACGACCTCGACGCGGTCTCAGCGGCAGGGGCAGCCGTAGCTACCGCGGCTGAAATGTCAGCGTCCGTGCACTGGGAGGGAGCACAACCTTGAAAGATAGGGAGTGCCGCAACACTGCTTGACTGAGCGATAGTGCGCTGGCGAGTCTTTATCTTAGACAGGGCAGTGACAAAGGCAGTCAGGGTGAGGTCACCAGGGTGTTGGCTAAGGAAGTGGTTGCGGGCAGTGGCTAAGCGGTCTGGCAGGCTCATGGCAATAAGGTACAGGGTAGCGCAGAATGGTGGGGAGAAGGCAGTGAGCTGGGCGGCAGTGCTAGCGGTGCGGTAGCTAGTCTCTAGTGCACGGATTTGAGTGGCGAGGTCAGCGACAGTGGGGAAAGCGGAAAGATCGGGGAATAGCATGGGGAGGATCAGGCGGCCAGCAGAGGCGGAGGCGGGTGTGGAGTAGCGCTCAACTACTGCATCTAGGAAATCCTTGGCGTTCGCGACAGCAGTGAAGCGCAGACGATCAGACAGGGGAAGTCCATGACTAATGGCTAGTTGCGCTACGGCATCGCGGGAATCCCAGATAGCGCGAGCGAGAGCAGCAGCAGAAAAGGCCTCACGCTCAGCAGTAGTGGGGTCAGCAGGGAGGGGATCAGACGCGGGGGGGGCGGGGAAGCAAACCATCAACATGCACAGCCAAGGAGTTCCCATCCTGGCGCTGACCTGTCAGGTGACGGCGAAGATCGACAAGCCAGACGACGAAGTCCATCGCGTGCCCCTCCGTGTCTAGGCGGAGTACGGCGTCCGCCATCGTTAAACCTCCGTGTCACAGCTCCTCGGTGGCACAGCGACACGGCGGCACAGCGGCTTAGCGACACAGCGAGACGGTGGCACAGCGGCACAGCTACTCGGCGGCACAGCGGCACAGGTACTCAGCGGCATGGCGGCATAGCAGCGTAGCAGCAGAACTCTCCTGCGGGAAGACCGGGCGGAAGGCCGGAGCAGGGCGCACAGGGCCCGAGGCGCGTTGTAGGCCGGCGAGGCGCGATGGGCCAGCGAGGCTCGAAAGGGGCGGCGGGGCGCCAAGGGCCGGCGGAGCGCTAGGGCCAGGCGGGGCGCTAGGGCCAGGGGGCGCTCGAGGGGCTGGCGGGGCACCTAGGGCGGGCGGGGTGCTAAAGGGGCCAACGAGGTCAGCGGAGCGCTAAGGGCCGGTAGGCACGCGAGGGGGCCGATGGGGCACGAAGGGGCCGGCGGGGCGCTAAGGGCCAGCGAGGCGTTAAGGGCCGGCGGGGTACGCGAGGGGGGGGGGGGGGGGGGGGGGGGGGGCGGCGGGGTATGCGAGGGGTCGGCGGGCACGCGAGGGGCCGGCGAGGCGCTAAGGGCCGGCGAGGCGCGCGAGGGTCCGGCGGGCACGCGAGGGACCGGCGGGGTATGCGAGGGGGCCGGTGGGGTACGCGAGGGGCCGGCGAGGCGCTAAGGGCCGGCGGGGCGCTAAGGGCCGGCAAGGCGCGCGAGGGGCCGGCGGGGTACGCGAGGGGTCGGCGCGGCGCTAAGGGCCGACGGGGCGCTAAGGGCCGGCGGGCACGCTAGGGGCCGGCAGGGTGCGCGAGGGGCTGGCGGGGCGCTAGGGGCTGGCGGGGCGCGAAGGGCTGGCAAGGCGCGTAGAGGACCAGTGGGCTGGAGCGGAGTCGTCAGGGCGCTAAGGGCCGGCGGGGCGCGCTAAGGCTAGGGTATGACGGGGCGGTAGACTAGGGCGAGGGCGGAAGCGGGTGGGCGGACCTAACCTACTATGATCCCATGTTAGATTAGCAGAATGTACTAGAACAAATGAGTGAAGGGGAGATATAGGGTTGGAGTTGTACCCTCCTATAACACAAACCTATCTAGCCTATAACTTCTACATATAAACATATGTATAAGATGTCAGCTGGTCGCGGCATTTTCCAACTCCAGAGCTGCTACAAACAGAACAGAGCCAATTCCAGCCTGAAGATGGCCCCATGGTAAATGCATGCGCAACTCTTATGAGATCTGCTTAGGGCAATCAAAGGCAATGTCCAACAGTGTAGCCTCACATGCTCTGAGCCTTTCAACACTCTCTTCAAGCTGGACCCTGCGCTGCTGGTCAGCCACCTTCAGAGCTGCAAGCTTCGAAGCATTCCCACTCTGGATAGCCCCCCAAATTGCAGTGTCAGTATCATCAACAAGAGCATCCTCCAGAGACATTCGAATCTCCATTGGAATCACATCGCACAGCCGCTTGTGCATCACCTTAGCATGGGAAAACATGTTGATCTGCAGATCTCTTGCCGCCTGGTCATCGTTGCTGACCAAATCAGCTAGTGAAGCAGTGCTGGAACCGAAACCATCGATCTTGAGGATTTCACCAGATGCTCGAGCTTTCTTGTACTCTGCAATCTTTTCATGGATTTTTGTCATGGTATCCATGTAGTAATGATTCAACGTGAAAATCACCCTCCTTTCCTTCAACAGAAGGTTCTTCGTCATCTGGATTGTCGAATCCTTGGCCTTCTTCAAGGAATTCAGGGCTTGCAGTTGAGCAACATTGTTCAGGCTAGGATAGGCCGAACAAGACTGCGCTACCACGGCTTGCTGAACCTCTGATGCATAGGAGAAGCAGTCATCCACCAGCATCAGTGAAGGACCTTCAATGCTGTCAATCACCTCTTGAACGAGTTGTCTCAGCACAGCCTGATCCAACATATTCGGCAGCGAAATTCCAGCAACCTCTTTCAGAGCATCTTTACAGCTCTCTGTGTATTTCTTCCCAAGAAACTCGGGAAGAACACCCCGCTTCTGAGTCTCATACTCGTTAAATTTCTCATGCAGCCTTGCAGCATAGTGCATGGAATTCTCGCCCTGAAACTGGCCGTATCTCCCACCAATGAGGCCTGTCATGATGTCCCGCCTTTTTTGAATCGTGGAGGAGATTATCGCCAGCGCAGCAGCATCAGAATTGGCAGCATAGGGAATCCTCTGCAATTCATCTTCCTTTGCAATCAGTGTCTTCTGGATGGACTGCCTGATTCGTGGAATGCTGTCTGCTACCCTCTTGGCTTGAATCGCCGCCAGTCGCTGGGCGAGAGCAGGAATTCCTCGAGAATCCGGCTCAATTTTGCTCAATTCCGGATGGCCATCAAAGAAACCCGTTTCTGCGAGGCGAGCAGCAGCGTGAGATGCATCAGCATCAGTCCTGTTCCTGACGCACACGTAGCCAAGTCCGATTCGCACTGAGTTGCCCTGGATCTTCTCGTAGAGGCCATCAGGAGCCCTGTCGACCTTGGTGACGACAGCCAAGGTGCGATCTCCATCGTTGTCAACTTCTTGAGACATGACAATGGACTCACACGTGGAAAAATCCACCTCAGCTGCAAGAACGTTGAGAATGACGCTTTCTTCTGGAGTGATGTAGTGCATGATCATGGCCTTGACTTGATTGTAGATGTCCTTTGGCTGATCTTCAACAGGGACTCGCGTGATTCCAGGCAGATCCACCAGCGTCAAGTCAGGCAAGCCAGATCGCTTCACCTGCAGAGTGATTGGACGATCCATGACGCCTTTCCAGCTTCCAGCTAGGGCCACAGTCGCCTTGGATATCTACTCTTGAATGGACTCTTCATCCGGTAGCTCTCTGAAGACCTTTCCAGAAGCAGGATTGTTATACTGATCGTGATCATGTCGTCTTCGTTCGTGCATGACTGAAGCCTCAGGATCAGCGGCACTCGGGTAACAATAACATTTCCTCTTGGCAGGCTAATTCCGGACAGGTTCTCGAGGCCAGACGACTTGCCACTGGATTGATCACCGACGACAACGATAGTTGGAAGCTCGATCCCCTCTTCCTTGAGTCCCAAGATCCGGAGCTTGTCAATCGCATCAAGCATTGGACGGACGTTGTCGTTGAAGGAGGAGATGAGGGGCGCCGAGGTGAGGGTCTGGTGTTGACCTGATCAAGAATGGTAAAGAAGAGGTGAACGGCAGAAAGTGAAATCAGGACTATGGTCAGTGATCTAAAAGTGTAACCATGGCCGTTCATAATCCACAGTGATCTAAAAACGTACCAGACTCCGACGAGGCCAATGATGCCCGGCATATGGCTCCTGACGGCGTCTGTCTCGCCTCACGCTGGCGAAAACACTCATCCTTGAGACGCCTCGATGACAGCGAACATGTCTTTGCTGCTTTCACCCCGAGCATTCTAAGTCCCGCCGTGCTGGTTCTGATCAAACAGGGTGAGAGAAACTCGCTTCGCTTGATGTATTGAGAGCAGGTTCCATTAGCGAAGCGTGAAGCGCAGCAAGGGGTAAAGCATTTGGCCGGTAAATGATTTCTGCTGGAAGCGTGCATCGGACCACAACGAATCTGAGGAGTAGTAAACATGGCGATTGGGATGTCTGTCAGACTTCACAACTCTGTGACGCTTCATCTTCATGGGTGGCGGTTTGGGCTTCTGAGCTCGACCAACTGCATATTGCATCCATCATGGATTGGGCCGATCCATAGATTCAGCCGAACGGCAACGGCATGCAAGTAGAACCAAGCAAGCGCGAAGAACCTTTTTGCTTGTGACAGCTTGGGTGATGACTTCTGCGAGACACCCTGTAATGCCTGCGATGGTACCACTCCTCTTGGACGAGTGTCACATCTCGCTTTGCCCCACGGGCTTGTCGCTACTTCGTCACGATTGCGAAATGCTAAACGATATTCGCGAAGACCATCTCGTTCAGCGAAAGGTTCAACGATCCAGTTGGAAAACAGCACAAGCACAGAACAGAGGTGAGGGCTGTACACGGAACAGAGAATACACTCTGCCAGAAATTCTGTAACCGGATCTCAAATTGACACATACACCCCAAGTCGATCTCCCTCTTAGGTGTGATTCCTGCGTCGTGTCATCCGGCGATGTCAGGCGCAGGAAGACACCCGAGAAAAGTAGAGCACATGTTCTGTCAGGCGATTTGTCTGTCCTTGAGGCCCGAGGCCTTCCGTGCGGAGTAATATCGGTTGCCGGTTCTTTGGCAAGAGGATATATTTCAGAAGGATCGCCGGGGGGATCCAATCAGGGACGATGGCCGGTAGATTCCTTCCCACCATTTGCTCGCACGGACGACGGAGATTAGGCCTACCGCGATGTGTTCCTTTGCCGCGAGATGCGGCCGGAACACAGTTTTTTCGGACAGAAGAGAACTTCAAGTCGTGCACCGTAGTACGTTTCTCAGACGAAAGAGGTGCGCAACTACGAGGCGAAGTAGTAACGCCCCTTGGAGTCGACCAGATAGATATTATCCGCGAAAGGCGGCGGCAGTCTCATGAACTCAAGCATTCGAGATTTCGGACACGGCTCTTCTCGTCAGCATCCGCTCCATTATCACCACAGCCGACATCGTCGGTGGTCGGACCAGCACCCGACGCCGCAAAAGCAGGGCATGGGGAGCTGAGTGAGAATGAATTTCACCGTCGCGCAGACGAAGCCCTGCACTGGCTGCATGAGAAACTCGATGTACGCACACCGAGATTCTGGCATTGGAGTTAACTCCAACGCCTCCTAGCGATCCACTTGATGCTTTTACGTCTTTGAGCTTGACTTCAAACGACTCGCCGTTTTGATTTTTAATATCCTCTTTCCGTTTCCAGACCGTTTCACGTTTCTCGGCCAGAATTCATCCTTCTTGCTGTCTGGCGGTTTGCAGGCTCTAGGTGATGAGGTGGACATTGAAGGCTTTGATTCTGACCTGTCAGTGAGTGTCTTGGCATCTGTACCTGTTTCAGAGGCCAGTGAATCCAGTCACATGGTCGTACGATGCCCTTCTCTTGCACCTCGTCCTCTTTGGACTCTTTGTTCACGATTTTCTTTGTCGCTTTCTATGGAGCAAAGAGTTCATCTTTGAGGCACCTGAAACTCTGTCTCTTTGGACTCGTCGTTCACTGTTTCCCAGAAATACTGTCCATATTTTTTCCAACGCAGCAAGGAGTCCTGACTCTTCGACTTGGTCGACACGGCATCTTTGTGATCAACAAGCAAGCCCCGAACAGGCAGATATGGCTCTCATCCCCCCAAAGGTATCGCTTTGGTATTCACCAAGATTACTAGCAGCCACCACGACCACCACTACATCTGCCCTCTCTAGTGTGTGCTCGTAAGCTCATTGGCTGTAAGCACCAGCAAGATAAGATAGTCATTCATGTATGATTCATTTGCCCCACATTCTTCAGACTTCTGCAAAATTTCATGCCTTTTCCATTGCTTGTCTCCTGCTGTTCTTCCCTGCAGTGGTCCAGCTCGCTTTGACTGGTTACCAGGTCATGGGTGGGTGTATCGCCGCACAGGAACAGAGCTCATGTCACTCTTGCAGGAGGAGCTAAGAGCATGCCTAGGCGATGGAGTTGTTCCTTCGCTCACACTGCCACCTCACATATAGCGTGCTGGGGTGATAAGGTCTTCTGGCTTTTTATTCCCCAGGTCCTGCTAAAAGCACAGGCTTCTATTACCGTGAGAAGTGCTATTGGTCGAGGGTTGCAGGAAGGCTGGGATCTCAAGCTAAATCTGCAGGCAGTGGGAGTCAAATAAACCGCTATGCAATTCGCAGTGAAATTTAGAGAGCTGATGAGAGCATGGCCAAGAGTGGATCTGGGAGACAGAGGCCTACATACGTTTTACTGCGTACCTTTGCCTTCATCCATTTTTCCATCCCTCCCTTAGCTCTTACTGCTCCCTCCATCCCCCCAGTCTTCTTCCCTTCCCCCACTTTCCTCCCTTTCCGCTGTACCATCTTGTTGACCCCTGTCCTCAGCTTTCTCCTTTCCCCCCCCCTTCCTTCCTCTCCCTTATGCTAGTACTAACCCCCCCCTCCCCCCCTTCTACCTTCCATCGTGCCTCACTTCATCCCTCGTTCCTTTTCCTCTCCCCCATTTCACTGCCTTCTCCCATCCATCTTCCATTGCTTCCACCGTGCGCTCCTTCCTACATGCCTTGCTTCTCTCCCCACCTCCCTCCCTCCACCGTACCTTCCTTGATTCCATCCATCCCTCTCCCTCTTCGTGCCCCTCTTGCATCCATCCATCACTCGTTTGGCGGGTCTTTTGGTGGGTTATTCGATGGCGCTGCTGAGCAAGGCATGTGGAGGAGTGTGCAGTACCATGTCTAAGGGTGTATTCTTACGAAGAAGCATCAGCATCATAATGACCTAGACTGATACTGATGCTACTTCAGACGCATCCGTTTTGCAGCCTGGAGATCAGAAATACACATCCCCATTCGCAGGTCACATTTTGCCATCCACGTGGCAGCCATGCTACATTGGTTCTTGATTTTCACGAGTTATGCAATTGGAGCCTTGTGCGAGAATGTCTCACGCACAAAGCAGAAAAAAACATTTAGGTCAGTAGGGCGTGCATGCTCAAAACCATGTTAGGTGCCAATTGGCAGAGGTCGTGTGATGCTGGCTAGACACTTACTACTACCCCCTTCCCCCCCTTTCCCTTCTCCCTAAACCTACACAACTTAGCACCCTGTTGCAAATCAGTACCCCACTTGTCCCCTAGCAGCCCGATTCATTACCACCAGTCAGGTGGTGCCAAGGACCACTCAATCACATGGAAACATAATACAGGATAATCAGATCATCTAGCTCTCTTTGCACAAGACGGGCATTTGTAGTCCTTGATATGCTCTGCCTTCGCTGGTGTGATTTTTACGCACTTCCCATGATACCTGCAAGAAAAAAAAAATCCCGTATTAGCACCAAGGCAGAGGGAGTAACAAAAATAGGCAGGAAAGAAAAACGCACACACCATTTATCACAATGATCGCAGCCAATCCAGAACTCGTTTGCCCCATACAGTCCACCACAGATGCCACAAAGTGTCTCCCCATGCTCCTCCTCGTCATCCTCCTCTTCCTCTGGAGTCTCTTGCTTCGCCTTCGATTGTTTTGTCTGCACCTCACCACTCCGCTGAAAACGTAAACGCAAACCGTTAGCGGACCCAACCTTGACATTGCAACCCTAGAAAAACAAAACGCGGGAAAATGTCGTACACTTTAGCACTTACCGACTTGCCCGAGCTCTTCGCCTTATTCGACCCACTGTTGTTGGCTGCTGCCTTTTCAGCCGCCTGCTTCTTGCCCGTTACTATATCAAATAGTGTGGGCAAGTCATTGATAAGGTTAAACAAGCGCTTCCTGCACCATCGCAATTGCCATGAAAATTAGCAAGCTGGCGAAAAAATCGTAGATCTTGATCGGAACAAAACGCGCCGTACCTCTCATTCTTATCGAACCGAGCGCCATAGTAAAAAGCTACTGCGAGTAGCCACGCGTCGCTGTGCACAGCAACCAAGGCTAGCCAATCTTTCTTCTGCATTCCATCTCTTGCGAAATTAATCCCAAGAGCGGGCTCTGGTAGTTCAGGCGGAACTTCCTCTGCTGGTAGATTGACCTCCCAAGCTTCCTCCGGATAACCATACAAACATAGATTCTCCTTCTCTGCAACAAGCGAAGTGAACGACATTGAACAAACGACGTGAACGGCGTGGAACTATTGAGCCATCATAATGCAACTCTCGTCGTCAAATTCTACAAAATCGTCTCGAACGCAAACCTGGATCGCACTGTCGGTAAAATTCCTCCACATCTGCAATCGCACACACAAAACGCGCAGGACGACGAAATGGTGTTAATCTCGACAAGACATATTGTAAGTTCGTAACGTGGCGAAAAATAAAACCGAGAAATATGGGCTACGCCGTGCATACCAGTTGTCAAAGCTTTTAACATGCCCTTTCTTCGGCCACTGAAGTCCTTAAAAACATCTTCTACGGTTTTCGGATTGGCCGCCATGGTCCCCCCTTCCATCAACTAGTCCTACTGAGCAGGGGATCAGGCAGAAGTCTCCAACCAGGACGTGCGCCTAGAAAGTTGACCTAATTTATAACCTCTATCCTTGCCGATAAGGGGGATTGCCCGAGGGCGCAGACATATCCCGTCCTTACACAAACCCTTCCAGATAGAAATAACTGAAGAGGAGTATGAGATGCAGCTTTTACCCTGAACGGCTCTTGAACAGAAATGGAACCACAGCCAACCCGCGTCTCGATTTGTGGAGGAAGGAGGTGTTGGAGAAGGTCCCAACGACATTTCGCTGTCGCCGAATAACGCTGTGCGATGGTTGGCGAAGCCTCACGCGAAACGCATTTTGCGTCGCCGAAAAAATGAGAAGAAAAGCTCCGTCTCCACTTGCCTCTCACATAAGGTGATTGATTCTACAGTGGGTGTACGCTATCTAAATTTAACCTGGTTCCTTGGCAAACGGAACCACGAGAACCGTCAACCGCTGGACTGTCACCATAGAGATCCAACGGCCGTGTAGAGATGGCGATGCTAGCAGTGCAAGGTGGAGATGCTGACGTGGACGGATCAGAACTCTACCGGTTCGACGGCAGACTAAACGGTGACGGGTAGCAAAGGGATTGTTGATTCACGAAAGGTCTGGTCTGGCCGTCTGTTCCGACCGCTTCCGATCGCTTCCCTCCCATTTTCAACCTACCCCATCCCACCACAACTCCTCCCCTTCCCTCCCAGGACTGGTTGGTTTGGTCGTGAATTGTAGTCCAAGCAAGGTTGTCAATCGAGCCAGGGAAACCTGCATTTTAGCCTAGAATGAATGCTGGAGTAAAGCTAGGCAAGTCATCTCTCCACATTCTGTTAGCTGATAGTCCTCTCCTCCTCATGTTGGAGTTATTTTTATTTTCCCGTCATTAGTCAAAAGCGAATAGACTCATTTGATGTAGTTCAATACTGTCTCGCTCCTTCTCTGGGTTAAAGCATTTTGGAAATGGACGGTTCGAAAGACGAGGGCAGTGTCAAAACTATACCAGGTAGCGGCGAGATAGATTCAGCAGAGCGGAAGGTAAAGGAGCAGACTGACGGCACGGGAGTTTTAGGAGAACCTCAACCGGAGGACGATGCTGATATTGACAAGATTCTGGAGGAGTTCCCAAGGGCTACATCCGCACCCCCCCAGCTGGCAGAATTGCAGGTAGCTAGTAGGATGGTGTGGATGGTGTGGATGGTGTGGATGGTGTCGATGGTGTGGATTGAAAAAAAGGGTTCTTGCGCATTCTTGTCGTGCATCTAGAACCTGTATCTCGATTATGCTTTTCTGACAGCGCAAAAAACTTTTTTCATGTGGTTCCGATCTTCTTGACGCATTCTTGTGGAGTGTCGCAGAAAGTTTATGGCATTGTTCCAGATACAGGAGCATTTGCTGGTAGCGGCGAGGGAGACGTCCCTGTCAAACCGTTCGAAGGTACTGTTGCTAAACCGTCCACTGATTTTCTTGTCTGAGATTTCGTTCTCTCTCGTGTAGTCTTTTTCGTTTGAGTGCTAGCACGCAGAATTTAACGTTGACTCCAAGCATGGGTGAAGCGCAGTTATAAGTGCTACGTAGTACAGAATTAGTGATGTACCTGAATGAGTGATATACAAAGTATGACGTGAGTTAAACCTCGGACGAAAGGCAATGCAAGAACGGTGTGTGGCCTGACGCCTCCCCTTGACCCCCAATTTCACCATGCCCTCAACCCCGATCTCTCCCACCTCTCGTCTTTGTGGTCCCGCCTGATCCCTTTGCTTCTGTCCTGGCAGACATTCGAAGAGACGAGGACTACGAGGAGTTTTACAAGGTCTACTCCGGCGTGAAAAAGCTCCCACCGCCAGTGGAGAACCTCCAGCTCTACACCGACTCGCCCCGAAATGCTGCAAGAGAAGGCGAGATGGGCTCCGACGGCGGTTTCTTTGGCAGCCTGGCGCTTGATGACAGCAAGCTGAGGGAAAGCATGGAGGAGATGAGGCGACTGGACGCGGAGAGGGTGCAGATCGAGGGAGGGAATGCCAATGGAGGAGAGATGCCTGGTAGTGGTGGCGACGGGACGGACGAGGAGGCGTTTCTGGAGGAAATGCAGCGGCAGGTGGCTCAGCAGCAGGCGCTGCAGGAACGGGAGCTGTCACGAAAGGCTCTGGCTGAGAAGAGACCAGGTCCAGACGCCTCTGGAGTCACTGGCTTAGCAGCAGCCTTTCAGGGGCTTGGTGTAGGGGGGTCAGCTCATGCTGCTGATAACGGATCGGGACAAGGCAAGGCAGGCTCCCAACAAGGGAGCAGCCCTTCTGCAGCCAATCACGGCAGTCAAGGCAGCCCCGTGGTAGGGGCGAGTGCCGCAAGCGGCCTCATGGCTGGAATGGCTGGCATATCTGCTCTGGGTCCCACTGCTGCTGCAGGAACTTCCCTTGCAGGTGCTGTAGGGTCAAATGGTATACCACCCGCTCTTGCTGCGAGTCTGCTGGGTGGAGCTGTGGGACTAGATCCGTTTACAACAGCAGCGCTACTGCAAGCCATGGGAGGAGCTTCAGGCGCGTCTGGCGCAAGCTTAGAGGGGCTTCTTGCAGCCATGGGAGGAGGAGGAGGGGGAGCCGCAGCTGGACTGGCAGGAGCAGGACTAGCAGCAGGTGCAGCAGCAGCAGGACTGCCAGCCAATATGGACTTATCAGCGTTAGCTGCAGCAGGCGGCATTGCTGGGAGCAGCCAAAACAATGACACGGCTGTGGAGGCAGGGAAGGGCGCAGCAGCGGACGCCAGCACGAAGAAGGCAGGATCAAGCGCCTCTGGACCAGCTGTTGCCCCCACAGGAGCTACTACTGCTGCTGCTGCTGGTGCTAGCTCCCCTGCTCTAGCTGGCGCTGCAGGAGTGGGGCTGTCAGGGATTGGTTCTCCGGGGCTAGGAAGCCAGGGCGCTGGGCTTATGGGACTCGATGCCCTCCTTGCTCAAGGCGGAGTCGGGCTCCTGCCAGGGATGTTGCCAGGTGCAGCAGGCATCGCGCCTTCCAACCTGCACCTGTACGAGCAGCTGCTGCGGGCCAGAGCAGGGGCGCCTGGCGTGGACTTGTATGGCGGTATGGGAGGAATGGCGGCAGCAGCTGCAACGGCTGCTGGGATGCCAGGCATGGGTGTGGGCGCACCAGGGGGGGCAGGGCCTCGAGGGGGGTTCGGGATGGGTATGGGGCTGGAAGGGTTTGGGTTAGGCGGGCTTGGCGCGCCTATGGATGCGTTTTCAGCAGCTGCTGCTCTGCAGGCGGCGAGGATGTTTCCTGGAGCGAACCCTGCGGATATGCTCTCTGCTATGGGGGGCCTCCAACAGCAGCAGCTGCAGCAGTTGCAGCAGCAGCAGCAGCAGCTGCAGCAAGGAGCGTCGGGACAGGGGGAGAAGGATTCGAAGGATAAGGCAGGGAAGGTGCATACGCCAGGGATGGCAGCGGGATCGGATGTGGATATGTCCTCGCTGGTTCAGGCACAGCAGGTGAGAGCTGTTGAGGGACTTGCTCTCACAAGCGTCGCTCGAGCGCCCACTGATCCATTATATTCCCCCCTTATCATACAACCCTAAGTCAACCTCACGTCTTTTTCCTTCCTCTCTGCTGTTTGAACTCCATCCCTGATTTCCTTCAGATGGCCATGCTCCAGGCTCAGGCGCAGCGGCTGCAGGCGCTGCAGCAGCAGGTGGAGGAGGACCTGCTCATGCGGCAGCAGCGCCAGCAGCAGCAGCTGCTCTTCCAGCAGCAGGCGTTCCTCCAGGAGCAGCAGCAGCAGCTGCTAGGCCAAGCTGCCAACCTCCCCATTGGTGCAGCGGCAGCTGCAGCCGCCGCTCAGATGCTCCGTGGGGGTGCACCAGGCATGGACCTTTTCGCCCTCAACCCCGGCCTGGCTGGCATGTCAGGAGGTTATGGTTTCCCCCCCGCCACAGGCGCGGCAGGCAGTGCCAGCACCGCATCTGGCGTGTGCAAGTATTTCTCCCAGAGCGGGTATTGTGCAAGGGGGGAGTCCTGCCCGTTCCTGCACTCTGTGGGGGGGGTGGGGCTGGGACCGGCGGGTCTGGGTGCTGCAGGGGCGGGAGCAGGAGCAGGAGGAGGGGCCGGCATTGTGGGCAGTGCACCACAGGGTGTAACATCGCAGGCTGGTTACCGCGCAGGTGCGGCTCCCTATGTGTCACCGGACAAAGGAGTCAGGGGACCCCCTCCCGGGTTTTGCAGCAGCCCTGCGGGAGCATCAAGAGGGGTGGGAGTGGGAGGAAGCGGGGCGCCGGGAATGCTGGGCCCTGGGGGGGGAGGCGGCGCGTGGAAGCGTATGGACGGGGGTGGGGCGAATGGGGCGAATGGGCTCATGGGACCTGGCCCTGGTGCGGGACTAAAAGCACCAGGGGCAGGTGGGGTTGGGTCGCCGCCAGTGGGGTCGTTTTCTGGGGTGGGTGGTGGGGGCGATGGGGGGTTGATGGGGGTGTATGGGTCGGGGGGAATGGGGCTGGGGCTGGGCTCGTCGCAGCACTCCAAGTACGCGTCGCTGGATGAGGTGGAAGGCAAGATGGCCGTTATAGCCAAGGACCAGCATGGGTGCAGGTGGGTCAAGCGTATTGAGACAAGGTATCATTCACGACCTAGTATCCGAAGGGCAGTTTCAATACAATGATGTTGACCCAAGCCGGGCTCTTGTGGCGTTTCAGGATCCCGATCCCGCATTCCCTTCCTTTCCCTCCTCTCCCCCTTTCTCACAAGTTTCTGCAGTGCAAATTGGACGAGGGCACAGTGGAGGAGGTGGCGCGAACATTAACAAGACAGCCGCACATGGCAGAATAATCTCCAAGCACACCACTGTGCCTTTCCCTCCTGTTGCGCTTCCCTTCACAGGTTTCTGCAGCGCAAGTTTGACGAGGGCACAGCGGAGGAGGTGGCGCGCATATTTGTGGAGATACGGCCACACATGGTGGAGCTGATGACGGATCCCTTGGGACCCCTTGTGCATAAGGCCCGTCTCGTGCGGGTGATTTTCCCAATTCAAACATCACCATTCCCTATCCATCCTACCATTCCCTTCCCACCTGCTGGCCCTCGCTCGCAGGTTTCTGCAGCGTAAGTTTGATGAGGGGACAGCGGAGGAGGTGGCGCGCATATTTGTGGAGATCCGGCCGCACATGGTGGAGCTGATGACGGACCCCTTTGGCAACTACCTCGTGCAGAAGGCGCTGGAGGTGTGCAGCGACGGACAGAGGGAGGAGATCCTCGCCATGGCCACTGAGAACCAGGCGGACCTCGTCAGCATCTCCCTCAACATGCACGGGTGAGTCGTTGATATATTTCTCGACATGCACGGGTGGGTTGCTCATGTGTCCCTCGCCATGCGTGGGTGAGTGAGGGTTGAGAGACGAATAAGTCTTGAGATGCCTTGATGTGCATCGGTGAGAGGGGGTATCATGGAGCATGTAGGTGGTTTGATCTGCATGTCTAATCCCTGTTTCTCCCCCCCTCCTACCCCCCATGAGCAGCACACGATCGGTGCAGAAGCTGAAAAAGACAGTGACTGCCCCTCGTTTTCACACCTTCCCCTTCCCCCTCCCCCCCTCTCCCATCCCACCCCCCTCTTCAATAGCACGCGGTCGGTGCAGAAGCTGATTGAGACGGTGACGGCGCCCAAAGCTGTGCAGCGGCTGACTTCGAGCCTGGCAAGTGGTGTGGTGATGCTCATCAAGGACCTCAACGGCAACCACGTGGTGCAGCGCTGCCTCCAGCGACTCTCAGCGCAGCAGAACGAGGTGAGCTGATGGGAAGACGGGGGGAATGGGGTGAGAAGAATGGGAGGATGATGGACGCTGATCAAGGGCCTGCAACGCTGCCTGCAATGACTCCGCGCAGCAGAACGGGGCTGGCAGGGGGAAAGGGGGCGATTTAGTGAGGGGGGAGAGTGGTTTGAGGGTGGGGATGAGGATTTGAGGAAGAACAGAAGGCGGGGAACGGTACATGGAATGACTCAGGATGGCTGTAACTTTTATCCCTCACCCCCCTTCTCCCACATCCTTTCTTCCTTGTCTTACATTGCTTATCTTCCTCCTCTTCTTTCTCGCCCCCTCCCCACCCCCCCAATCCCTGTCCCTCTCAGTTTCATGTTCACCTTCGCCGTGTCCCACATTGCCACTCTCTCCCGTCTCTCACCCTCTCCCCCCCACCCCCCTACCCATCCCTGTCCTTAGCAGTTCATATTCAATGCTGCTGTCTCTCACTGTGGAGATCGTGTCGCACTGCCATACTCTCGACCTCTCCAATCTCCCCCTCCCTTTCCCCCATCACCCCCGCCCCCCCCACCCACACCTCTCTCCTACCCATCTCTGTCCTTAACAGTTCATATTCAACGCCGCCGTCTCTCACTGTGTGGAGATCGCGTCGCACCGCCACGGCTGCTGTGTGCTGCAGCGCTGCATTGACTTTGCGCAAGGCCAGCAGAAGAACCGCATCCTGGCTGAGGTTGCCTCCAACGCCCTCGTGCTCTCCCAAGACCCCTTCGGGTGAGTTGGCCCTTCAAGTGAAGCACCCCTTTTGGTGAGTGCCCTCGGGCCATGTGCCCCATGGCCGTGTGCTGCAGCGCTGCATTGACTTCGCGCAAGGCCAGCAGATGAACCGCTTCCTGGCTGAGGTCGCCTCCAACGCCCTCGTGCTCTCCCAAGATCCCTTCGGGTGAGTGCCAGTTGGCTGTGTGCCCCGTGGCCGTGTGCTGCAGCACTGCATTGACTTCGCGCAAGGCCAGCAGAAGAACCGCATTCTGGCTGAGGTCGCTTCCAACGCCCTCGTGCTCTCCCAAGACCCCTTCGGGTGAGTTTTCTCCAATGGGTTAGTGCATCTTCTTCACTGCCCCTCCTTCAGCACATACACTGTGCAGTAAAGAAACACTTTTCACTCCCTTGTCCTCCTGCCTTTCCCCCCAATCCCCGAGAGGTTAATCCCCCCTTCTGGCGCCTCAAGCTCTCTCATTCCCTTTCCTCTCCTCCTCTCTCCCCCTCCCCCCCCTCCTCTTTCAGCAACTACGTCATTCAGTACGTGTTGGACCTGGGCCTGCCCTGGGCGATGGAGGAGGTGGTGGTGCGGCTGCAGGGGCAGTCCCTCCCCCCTTGGCGCCTCAGCCTCTCTCATCCCTCCTCCACTCTCCCCTCTCTCTCCCCCCTCAAAATCCCCCCCGTGCTAGATCTGGGCCTGCCCTGGGCGATGGAGGAGGTGGTGATACGGCTGCAGGGGCAGTACGCGCCCCTGGCGCAGCAGAAGTTCAGCAGCAACGTGGTTGAGAAGTGCCTCAAGCTCTCTCATTCCCCCCCTCCCTCCCCCCCTCCAGCAACTATGTCGTTCAATACGTGCTGGATCTGGGCCTGCCCTGGGCGATGGAGGAGGTGGTGATAAGGCTGCAGGGGCAGTATGCGCCCCTGGCACAGCAAAAGTTCAGCAGCAACGTGGTCGAGAAGTGCCTCAAGCTCGCGCCTGACAACTGCCGGCACCTCATCATTCAAGAGCTCGTTGTCTCACCGCTGCTGGGGCAGCTGCTGCAGGATCCCTTTGCCAACTACGTGGTCCAGTCCGCATTAACAGTGGCTAAGGTGAGACGGAGGGATTTACAGGGAGTAAGGGTCAGGTGGGTAGCGGCTGGCAGGGAAAGAAGTGCCTCAAGCTCTCCCCCTGAAGTTCCGCCACCTCATCATCCAGAGGCTCGTTGTGTTGCCTCTAGTCCTCATGAGCCAAGGGCTAATTCGATTGACCGATTACTCCAGGATCCGTTTGCAAATTGCATGGTCTATCCAGACCACATTGACGGTGGCTAAGGTGAGATGGGGGTTTACTTTACGGGGTCAGGTGGGAAGGGGTTGGGGGAAGAGGTGCTTGAATTGAAGGTCTCACATCTAACAACTGCCGCCACCTCATCATCCTGGAACTCGTTGACTCGCCCACTTGGAGGCCATCCGGCTAATCTGGCTACAGTGGAGTCGTATGAGAATTCTCAAATATGTCATCCAGGAACTGGTCGGCTCCCCCAGTTGGAGGCCATCCAGCTGGTCTCATTCGACCGGTCGACTCAATAATGACCCCTCACCTCCACTTCCTCCCTCGTCCACTTGTCTGCCATATAATCCCTTGGCGGAGGCCACCACCACATAATCATCTGAGTCCACTCATGATCCACCACTGATCACCCTCACCCTCGTCTTCTTCCTCCCCCCCCCCTTCCTCCCCTGCCAACCCCTCACGCTCTCTTCCCTGTTCCCCCCTCTCTCACCTCCTCTCTCCTAGGGCCCGCTTTACCCCGCCCTGGTGAAGCCCATCTGCCCATCTGAGTCCCCGAGCAAATCACGAATGCCCATCCCTCATCCTTATGTCCCTGTGCAGTCCTCTCAACTCTCTCTCACCCCTCTCTCCCCAAGGGCCCGTTGTACCCTGCCTGCCCTGGTGGAGCCCAGCCCGTCTGCCCCTCTGAGGCCCCGCATGAGTCATGAATGCCCAACCCTCACCCTCTCGTCCCTGTGTGGCGGTGCCCCCCTCTCACTCCCTCTCACCCTCACCCTGTTCCGTTGCCCACCCCTCACCCTTACGTCTCTGTGCCGCCCTCTCAACCCCCTCTCACCCCTCTCTCTCTCCCAGGGCCTGCTATATACTGCTCCTGTGGAGGCCATTCGCCCCATTTGAGTCCACTTACAAGTCACGAATGCCCACCCACCCCTCACTCTCTCGTCCCTGTGCTGCCCTGTCAAACCCTCTCACCCCTCTCAACCCCCGCTCACCCCTCTCCCTCCCAGGGCCGGCTGTACACTGCTCCAGTGGAGGCCATCCGCCCCATTTGAGTCCACTTACAAGTCACGAATTCCCACCCACCCCTCACTCTCGCCTCCCTGTGCTGCCCTCTAAACCCCTCTCACCCCTCTCAACCCTCTCTCACCCCCCTCTCTCTCCCAGGGCCCACTGTACACCGCTCTAGTGGAGGCCATCCGCCCGCACCTGCAGTCCCTGCGCAGCAGCCCCTACGGCAAGCGCATCCTCGCCCGCACCAACCTCCGCCCAAAGTAGCCCTGCCCTCACCGCCCTCTCCTGCTGCACTTGCACTTGCACACACAGATAAACCACTTTCCCCACACCAAACCTCCCTTCCAACCCCCAGTAGCCCTGCTCCCGCCGCCCTCTCCTGCTGCACTCACAGACAGCAGGAGTCCCCCTCCCCTCTCTCATACCAGCCTCCTCCCCAAGTGAAGCAGTCCCCCTCTCCTGCTCTCACGGCCCCAGCTGCAAGTAACCTCCTCCCTCCCTCTACCGCACTCACAGCCCCTATCCACCCTCTGCCACACACAGCCTTTAACCCTCTTCTCCCCCCGTCACGGCCGCTAGCCTGTCCTACATCGCTGCCTTCTCTTATCCACGTACTCACCGTGTACTCCTGCTGTTGTCGGCATATCCCTCTCTTGGCAGTCACCTCTCGCCCCCATCCACCAATCGCATTCCTCCACCTGGCTGGCACCCCTTGGGCTGTGCATCCCGCGAGTCATCGGCAGGAGCTTCAAGTCGCTTTTGGACGGACTTGCAAGAACACCTGTTCTTCGAAGCACGCACGCTGAGCCCGAACTTGTCTGCTGCTGCCGTGCTGTCCAAGCACCTCCTCACCTCATCCCCGTCAAGCATATTTATCCTCGCGTGCTGTTCGTTGCACGTTGTGGTAGCCTGCCTGATGTCATTCCATACCTATCTCTGGCACATCTCATCTCATGCACATCTGGACTCCAAGCGCAGTTTCCTATCCCCTCCTCCAACTCGCCTACTCTGCCCCCCTTGCCGCCTTTCTTTCTTGCTTCCTTGCCTGCCACCTTCTGTATTCCCGCTGTTGTAGTCTGCTGCTCCCAGTCTCTGCATCCCCTTCCACAGCTCTGTACCTGGCATGACCTACCAGCATCATGCTTTGCTTGACAACCTATGCATGTCTGCTATGCTATGCTACGGTTCTGCTACCCGGGGAATTGTATTTGAGACGTGTTTGTTGTAGTGCTGCTTATGTTGTTGTGACTCTGGCTTCTCCCTTGTGGAAAGAGAACTCACACTAGCACTGATTTGCAAATGCTGTTGCAGTTGGCTGTTGGGGTTTGAATGAGCGTTGCAAGACTTGATATCTGACCTAGTACTTGCAAAAATAGAGACAACATAAGGTGCTTGTGTATTGGTTTCTGGACACAAGCAACCATATACCTATTGTAACTGTATACTAGCGAGGCTAACGAAATACAGCATAATCAAGCTGCGGCAGCAGCGCGAAGAATGGCGAAAAGCACCACAGAGGGGACGATGTGGACAACTGCCCGAGCTAAGACTCCCTTATCTTTCCACCTCATCTGGCGCTTCAAAACTCAGCTAGTAGCAAATTCCCTCAATGGTGTCTCCTCAATGGTGTCTCCTCTCTCCCCCCTGATCCGAAAAATGGTCAGCACCCAGCTTGGTCCTAGTTGCGGAGATTTAAGTCAGGGACTCAGTCAGAAATTTTCAGAACTGATAGGAGGGAGGGAAGGGAATGTAGCCATCATCAATCTTTTCCTGAGCGATCAGATCAGGCCTCGAATCCTTCCAATGGCTGCCAGTTCATCATCTTCATCAGCTGCAGTTCCGCCGCCAGTAGCACGCCCACCTCCACCAATGACACGGCAGACATCGCCGCGCCCTTGGGAACATCCGTCTGCCGCCCGTCCAGCTTCGCCGCCGCCCACAGGCACGCCGCGAGCAGCACGCGCAGCGCGGTGCTGTCGACGGATCCAAGCGGGAGGCTCTTGAGCGCGCGCTGCAGCACGTGCAGCGCGAGGTCGACCACGCGCGGGCCGCGCAGCGCCAGCTTGGCGCACCAGGAGGAGAGGATGCGGCGCAGGCCGTCCGCAGCCTGATGGCGCAAGTTGCTGCGCGGAGAGAGGTGGGAATACTTGTCGGGCTGCTTAGGGGGTGCTCCTGATACCACCGCTGGTGCTGGTGCTGCTGATGCCGATGCCACTGCTGCTGCTGATGTTGATATCGAGTCGACGAGTAGCGGTGGTGGTATAGCGGAGGCATTTTGCAAAAATGACGGAACCAGCAGCGACGGCAGCGGCGCCAGCTGCTGCTTCCGCGCGCCTGCTTCAGCTGACAGGTCCGCGTTAAACGCAAATTTCCTTTTCCCGAGAAGGGTTATGCTGGTAACATCGCTTGTGCCCGCAGCAGGGTCCTTCAGCAAATCACCTAAACCCTTTTTCGAGGAACCAGGAGGCACTGCTGCTGCTGAGGTGCGGGTACTTGGCAAGCGGAGAGCAAGCTCCGGTAGTGGCGGCAAGTCCGCCGCTTCCGCCACGCGCGCGTCAGCTACATCCGCGCCCGCCGCGTCCGCCAGGACTCTCAGCGGACTTCGGGCGTCCGCAGCACATTCCGCCACCGCCGCCGCCGCCGCCGCCGGCTGACTTGGGAAGCCGCAGGCCACCGGGGGCGGTGCTTGTTGGTGCGCTTGACCCCCGCATTGCGCGGCTGCGCTCTCGTGGGACTCGGGGAAGAGCTGGAGCGTCCGCGGGATGGAGGGGGAGCGGGGGGGGGCAGTGAGGGAGCTGGCGGAGGCGGAGTAGGGGAGTGGAAGGTCCGCGGAGAGGTCGTCTTTTGACTGCGAGAGCGCGTTCAGCAGCGGAAACGCGGCTTCAATCTGGCTCCCAGTTACCGCCAGGCTTCGTGCGCCGGAGTTAAAATAGGCAACAGTAGTGGAACGCTTCTGCTGCTGCTGCTCCGAGTAGGGATGGAACAGGTTATTGAGTCGGCTTGAGTCCGCAAGTCCCGGGGGTAGCAAGGCGGAAGTGTCGAGCCTCTGGCGCTTGGGGAGCGTTTCGTCGGAAGGCGGTGGGAGGCATGCCCTGCACACTGCGCGCGGCGGAAGAGCGTGGTTTGCGCCAGCCGCGGCGGGCGGCCAGAGGCAGTTCGTCGGCGCGGCGCAGCGCGTGCAGAGGACGAAGCGCGCGTGGCGGCGGAAGATGCAGTTGGCGGAATGCACCGCCGTGTCGCAGTCCAGGCAGAGGTTCGCGCGATCCGCGTCGCAGCGCAGCGCGGCGGGGCGCGAGCAAAGGGCGCACGTCGCGCGGACGTGTGAGGGGGCTGAGGCGGTTACGGCTTGTGCGCAACCCAGAGCGGAACCGACGGCGGAACTGGCGGGTGCCTCAGAGGTGACAGGAGCTGCTGCTCCCCCTGGCAGGGGGAGTCGGTATTGGGAGAACGATCTTAAGTCGAAGCTCGCCGTGAGGTAAGGGAGACGGAGGGTGTCCATGGTGCTTTAAAAGACTGGGAGGTGAAACGACGTTCACGGTATTGTTGCTAGTACTAGTCGGCACAGTCGCGCTATCATGGAACACGGCAAAGTCGCTCGGTGGGTCGGTGTATCGGTTGGCCTGTCTACGGTTGTGAAGCGGAACGGCGTTTGCGAAGCTGTCGGTCTCAACGGACGAAGGTAAGTTAGTTGGAATTGACGGTGACTGCTGGAACCAAGCTTCTTTTCTACGCCTTGCTGGCTTGCTTGCTTGTCGAGCCGACGCTCGCTAGCATGTGAGAGAAGCGTCGCTGTCGGACAACGAGACCGCCGCGGCGGTCCATTCGATCATACTAGGCAGCCTGGAGCGAGAGCGAGTCGTTCTCGGAGAAGGCGCCTTCTTGGAAAAGCAGGCGGGGAGAGGAAGGCGAGAATTGCTGCCCAGCTGGCCGCATGGTGGTTACACCAATAGTAGGGTGCCCGTACAGTAGTGTACTGTACTGTGCTATCCATAAATGTGGATATGGACGTGGTACTCAACTGAGATATGGGCCATTGATTCACGGACTTGGACGGCTTTCGGTAAGCCGCCCAATCGGCCGACTCTTCGTTCCAAAAGCGCGGTAAAGAGCGGTACAGTAGTCCGTTCTGGGGTCTGGCAGTCAAAGACGCTCCGATGTCGCGTTTCTGGCGAAAAGGCTTGGACTGCCGCGCTGTGCGCTGTGCGTCGCGTTGCGCGCACACAGAGGCTCTGTGCTCTGTGCTTGCCCGCTGTGCGCTGTGCGATATGCTAGCGTTTCTATATCTTCGACGGGTTTGTCTTACTTGGGCAGGGGAGGAGCCAAACAGCTTTACCACACCACGCTCGGGGTTTTCTGCCGTCGCGTGCGGGCGAGCAGGAATGAGTGTGCGGTCAGGGGGAAGGGGGGAGGGGGGGTGGGCGGGTGGGGTGGGGGTGGGGGGGCCTGGAGCTGGCGGGGAGCCATCATGCCAACGCATGAAGAGGGACAGCTGTAGAAACGCTTGGCCCATCGGAGAGTAGCGCAAGAAACGGGGAGACACAAGTTCGGAAATGTTCGTTCGAAGTACATTACTGCTCATCAGCACCGCCGTGGGCCCATAGGGCTAACTGTACTTGAGAAGGCAAGCACGAGGAGAAGGTGAGATTGGGCTTTCTTTTCTGGCCGGAAAAAAGTGGTTCGCCGCAAGTGGCGGGGTTGTAGGGTGTGGGGGGTCGTGTGTGAGATCATGGCGTTTGAAGAATATCTTCTAGGGGTGAGCAATTCATATCTCAGAGTGAATTCGGAAGTTGGACCGACAACCAAGTTTCCCTTTGCAACCAAGTTTTCCCCTCCCAACCAAGTTTTCCCACCCGCAACCAAGTTTTCCCCCACTGTTGATGCGAACCTAACCGATCGAAAGCGAACAGCTCCTGGTCGCGCTCAATCAGGAAGCGCCTGGGGCCCAGACGACAAGCGTTAGGAATTGTGGAGGGAATCGGAACCCTAGCGAAAATCGGACGGTCAGGTATGAGAAAGACCGACGGAAATCTCGCCATTGGAAAAAAAGAATCATTTCCTCCCCTTCCTATCCATTCTTTCAGATTTGGCAGGAGATGGGTGTTTCCGGGCAGCAGTATGACATTTCCGTGCGATTCCCGCCGTCACATTTGACCTCGTGTGTCGCCCTCCTGGCTAAAACTGACAGCCCTTGTGGTCGCATTATGTCTTGCACCCACGTCGCAGGGGTCCCAGGCGTCAAGTGAGGTTTGGTCAAAACCCGAGGCGCATGGGCAAACATTGGAACTGCATTTAGACATTTCGAGTCGCATGGGAAAACTTTGCTCGTCGGCCCAACTTCAGAACCCGACCTCAGGCTTCGTGCACGATCCGGCTGCGAGCGGAAGGCAAGGGTTTGAATGAATGAGTTCTAGGAATAAGAGACACTGATGTATTTATTCACTGAATCTGTTTAGCCAACCTCAGTCCCCATCCGAACCACCACGATCCAGCGCTTAGAAACAAATTTCTTTCCATTGGAGGAAAAGACCAAGCCGAGGAAAGTATGGAAGGAATCTCGGGTCGGGTGAGAGTCACAACACAAACACAATTCGTGAGACGACTCTCCCAATTCACACTGCCAAACTTGCAAGGGATGTCAGGTTCGCGCGGGTTCTGCTGTGAATGACTGCTGATTTTCCTGAAAAGGGGTTCGCCGTGGCCTGTTTGAAGATTTTTTTTTTTCCAGTCGCGCGTATTTTGCCCGCTGACATCAGCGAGTGTGAGTGATTAACGACCTGTCATGTGGCCAGAAACGCACCACAATTTTCAGGAGACTTGACCCAGCATTCCCATGACCTCGGGGGGGAAAACCAGTGGCATGTTGCCACGCCCGCGTGAAGTGATATTCTGCTGCACCTGAAGTCGTTTCTTGATGTGCAGCGCTGGCAGTCGGGAGTGGTCGCACGAGTGATACAGGCAGCCAACCTCACTCCGCCGCGTTTTCAAGCACGTGAACCCTTGTGGTCCATGACTGGAAACCCGACCAGGTTCAGCATCATTCGATTTCTGCTGCAACAATATTTTCCAAGAATGGAGGGAAATCCGCTGCGCTGCTGGACATGAGAATCAGAAACAAATTCGTTTTGCATGCTTCCCGATTTGTTTCTCGTATCGTTCACAGAATGACATAGGAAACTATGGCAAGAAGCATGACCATAAAATTGATCAAATAGAGCTCCCAAACTCACACGCGGACACTTTCAGTATCGACAGCAAAAACCTTATGGCGGACATGACCGTAAAAAATGGAGTGCTGTACACATACTTCTGGAAGTGAACATGCGGAGCACGTGGAAGATATTGCTGCCCCAATGGTTTTGGTTTGGAGTGGAAGGGGACGTTTCGCTTTACGATTGGCTCTACACGTGATTCCCCCCAAAACTCGTGGAAATCCAGCTTCACGGTTACTGTAGAGCAACCACATTCTTGAACAGCACGCACAGAGCTAGCTACACTGTAAAGCTCGTTATGGTAAAATGTTTTGGGCAGGATGGTTGTGTGTGTATCTAGCGGAATTTGACAATACATGACTACCCATGGGGCCCACCGCCATTGGTATTTCCCTACACCCCAAAACAGGTTTCAGGGGTGTACCCGGAAGCCGAACGGTCAAACGGCATGGTGGGGGTACTCTGATAAAATCGAATTGCAAGCCATCGCGCACGCGCGTGCTTCCCATCGCGTGGATTGTTCATGTGCAAATTTGGATTTTTTAACACTTGAGAAACGGAGCCTTTTCTACCCGTTTCTGTTTTTCGATGCTTGGAATAACAGCCACATTCGGTACAAGGCACTCCGAAACTGCGCGGACGCAATTTGACAAGAAGCCAATCTCGTCATTGACGCTACGTGAGTTTTGATCCTACGGGATTTTACCATAACGAGATTTAGGGTGTAGAGTTCCGTTCGGCCCACACTTATGGTATTGTGTTCCCAGCCAGCCAGCCAACTTGACGTTCCTGAGGGATACGTAACGGTTCCATACAGACTCAGAAGGGTGCAGAGGCTTACACTTTACATCAAGCATACAGGTTCTGAAATTCTAGAAACAACCAACCCTGTACGCCATGTAACAAAGACGTGATAACGTTTTGAAGCATGGAATGTACCAACTTCTAGACCGCTTAGGACGTTGTAGGTTGCCCGAATGACCCAATTTGATCCACTTCCAAGTCATTTTGAAGGATTTCAAATGGATTCAATATGGTTGCAATTTGCTAAGCCACATTACTCTTCAAGATACAGAAAACGGTATTCGAGTACATTCTACCACGTTCTAAATTTTCCATCGATATCTCACACAATTTCCATCGTATCAAAACAAAATATATGGAGAATAGAATTACGGTTTTTCTATACTAATCCCACAATCATTCATTAGTAATGACTAGAAATTGCTCCTAACAAGGTTGGGATGTTCTGTCCACTAAGTCAGGGTTACCATCACCTTTTGCGAATACGTCTCTCGCCTCGCATGCCACGAGCGACTCGGATGGTCAAACGGTTTGCGGCGCGTTCCCAGCCATCACAGGCTGATTGGCAAGCTGAGAGAAGTTGTCTCCACAAGCTGTCGTGGCGCGTCATTTCGAGAGCTGCAGACGACCTTCAGATCTAACGAATCGACGGTTGGCAAGCGCGTGCCACAGTAACGAGTCCGAACCCTCCCGCCACGCCAGCAGCAAGGTTGACCTCTCTCGCATTTTCCGTGGGCGGGATGACGTTCCCTCGTTCCCCTGGGTGCAGTGCAGGACATGCGGGGCCAGAAGGGGTCGTTCGTTTTGGCGCCTCCGCCAAATCTCAACCCCCCTCGCTTTTGCCCTAATTTCCCCCATCCCAACCACCACTTCAGCTGGCGCCACTTTTGCCCACTTCCTCCTCAACCTCCCCATTCCCTAGGTTCCACACACAATCCTACGTGTGGTCCCGTGCGCCATTGCAACTCATGGGCGCTCCGTTAGGCTAACAGAAAGATTGACCCAAGCCAGCAATGTGTTGCTAGCTCGTTTCCAGGCCCACGCGCCAACAGTGAAGGGTAGGGGGAGCAGTGTAGACCTAGAGTTATCGCCGTCAGTTCGCTCATGAAACGATGGCAATAGTTCCGTGAGTCAACCTCGGGAACACGAGGAACGGGTGAAACTCTTAGACCAGGACTAACTTAGGCCATCCCTCTACAGCGCATTCTGGTACTCGATAACGTAGCGCGGCAACGCAAACAGCTCACAATAATGACGGCTGCGGAGTTGGCGGCGTCGGGTTGACCTTCGAGGCGCCTAAGAAATCGTACATCCTCATAGTGTGTTGGCGCGGCAACGCAAATCGCTCACAATGATGACGGCTACGGAATTGGCGGCGTCGGGTTGACCTTCGAGGCGCCTAAGAAATCGTACATCCTCATAGTGTGTTAGCGCGGCAACGCAAATCGCTCACAATGATGACGGCTACGGAACTGGCGGCGTCGGGTTGGGCCGACAACGGCTCTCTGGGCTGGCCTCTGCAGGTCGTGCCTCGCGACGTTCGTGACGACTTGGCGATTCTCGCAAATGCGGAGGAGAAACAACGGTAAGGAGCGAGGAACTATGGCATAGATTGATAGACAACGGCGAGACGCGAGGAACGACGGTGAGGAGTGAAATACTAAGCAGCGGATAAGGAAGGAAAGAGCACCTGAACCATTCCCGTCGATTCCCCTGTGGTTTCTCTGCGTGCTTGCAGGCGCCTCCACGTGAAGACCGGGAGCAGCGCCATCCCCATCCACGAGCCCGCGCAGTCGGGGACTCCCCGCACTCCGCGCGCTCCCCTTGCGCCGTCCCCGCGGGCCTCGTTTCAATCACCTCCGATGCCGGCCCGGCACCACAGCGGCCCGATTGAGCCCAGCTCGTTACAGTCACCCATTTACTGTCACACGCCGCAGCAGCTGAAGCGGGACTCGTTAGAGCGACACGTGTCAGACGAGGCCCCGCCCTTCCCGCTCCCCTTCTCCCTTAACTCCGCCCGAACAAGCGCGTCCGGGGGTTTTTCCGGAATGCTCGCAGGCCTGTACGTCCGGACGCCCGTTGCCGAGCCTGATTCCGAGGCTCGGGGCAGGTCCGGGTCTCGCTCGCCGCTTCGGATGCGCATGTTCGAGTCGTCCCCGAAGCCGCGGAGACCCATTGAGCGCGGAAGATCGCTCTCCCCGTACAGGGGCGCGCGGATGAGCGGGGAGGCTGACGGGGAAACGGGGAGAGGTGGGGGGAGCGTGCGCGGAAGCATGCGCGGAAGCGGGGTGTGGGACACGGGCGTGGGAAGCTCGTCCGCGAGAAGCCGCGCGGGTTCCGTTTCCCCGCTCCCCTCCCGCTCCCCATTGCGCCGCTCTCTCTCTCCCCTGCGCTCTAGCGCCAGCGGCCTTATCGACATGCTTTCCGGTCCAGTCACCCCTTCCGCCACGCCTTCGCGCCGCTTCCAGGCGCGCCAGGAGCGCGACTGGGAAGAGCGGCAGCAGCGGCGGGAGCGGGAGCAGGCGGAAGCGGGGGGGCTGCCGTTTGAGGACATAGTAGCGGGGGCGAAGGACCGGCGCGCGCGGCAGCACGCGCGGAGCAGCAGCAGCAGCAGCGTGCTCTGCGGCGCGAATGGCGGGCTGGGCGGCGCGGGCGGAGCATCTGTGGCCGCATCGGGCGAACTTTCCGTTATTTCCGGAGTATTTGATCAGGACCAGCAGTCGCAGCAGCAGGGACCAGCGGCGTGGGGGGCGAGTCCGCACGATGCGGCGTTGAGTCCGCTGGCGCGCGGCAACCCCGGACGAGAAGCCCGAGAGGCCCGTGAAGCTCCCAGGGAGCGCGACGCGCGTCTCCGGCGCTACGGGAGCGGGCCGCCGTCGATCGTCTCGGATGCGAGCCCGTGGGGCGGCGCGATGACGCCCTCCGCGCCGCCGACTGCGGTGGACCACTTGCCCTCGTTAGACGCACTCTCACGCTCGCCTGAGCGCGGAAGCGCGGCCTATAACGGAGGCGAGGACAGCAGTAGCGAGGACGAGAGCCGGTACTACAAGGTGCCGGATATCACGGAGTATAGGGAGAAGCGGCGGCAGGCGATGGGGACTGTGGAGCCGGGGAGTAGAACAGGTAAGATCACGCATGAGTACTTCCGGGGAGGTGGAGTCGATGTTTCCTTTGCGGAGTTTTTGGCTGCCCGTGCGAGTGTTGCTGGCGGCGGCGGCGGTGGTGGTGGTGGTGGCGGCGGTAGTGCTAATATCGAGGCAGCAGCTACTAGCGCGAATGAGCCTGATGCTGACGGCGATGCAGCTGATAGTGGTGTGGCGGGAGGCTGGGCTACTGGCGCTGACGTGGCAACGGCGGAACGTGAGACGGCGCCAGGTGCTAAGGGGGAGGGGGAACTGGGGGAGGAGGGACTGGAGGAGGGTGGACTAGGGGAGGGTGATGGTTGCCATGCTTCAGACGCTGCCAGGGTCGCTGCTGCACCGGCGGTTGCGGCGGAAAGTGCGGCGGCAGTGGCGGTGGGCGCTCCAGCGGTAGCGGGTGAGACAGGGAAGGCAGGGGGGACGGGGGAGGCGAGGGGCGCGGATGACGGAGACTGGCGGGAGAATGTGCGGGAGCGCGGGGAAGGGGAAGGCGGAAGAGGGAGAAAGCACCGGGCGCGATGGGGAGGGGCGGAAGGAAGAGACGCGGATGGGAAAGGCGTGGGGGAGCTGGCGGAAGAGGGGGAGGCGGAATCGAGGCGGAGTGTGCGCGCCCAGTGGAGCGTGCGGAGGCCAAGGCGCGGGGAAGGGGGAGCACAAGGCGGAAACGAGCGCGCGAAGAGCGCGGCGGGGGGAAGGAAGCGGGGGGAACAGGGGGTGCTGGACGGTTCCGCCATTGGGGGGGAAGAGGATATGGCGGGAGAAGAGGCGGAGGCGGGGAGGGGACTGGCGGAAGAAGGCCAGGGAGAGGACAAGTGGGAAACTGCGGAGATTGGGGGTCAGGGGGGAGGGTTGGGGGACGCGGAAGGGAGTGGGACTGGGGATGAGGGGGAAGCGGGGGAGTGGAGTGGGGAGGGGGTTGAGGTGATGGGAGGGTGGGCGGAGAGGGGGATGTATGAGGGCGAGGAGAGAGAGGCTTATGGAGAGGAGGGAAGGGGTGGTGATGGTGACGGTGATGGTGACGGTGATGGTATGGAGGGGAGTAGGCACAGTTTGGACCAGTATGGGCATGCCATAGAGGAGGAGCAGCAGGTTGAGGAGGAGGGGGAACGGGGGGAGGAGGGGGAGCAGGAGGAGGGGGCACAAGGCATGGCGCATACGGGTGGGGGATGGCATGCGGATTTGGCGGGGAGAGGTGCAGAAGACGAGGGTAGAATGATGCGGGACACTGGCAGCCGACTGCGGGTGGTTCCAGGAAAGAGAAAAAGAGCGCAGGGGGAGGGTGGGGGGGAGGGCGAGGGCGAGAGGGGAAGGGGAGAGGTGGTGTCTAGAGAAGAGGGTGCGAGGGAGGGGAGTGAGGGAGTGGGGCATGGGTATGTGTATGGTGGGAGAGGGGAGTATGGTGTGACGGTGGATTACGGAGCGAGTGGGGAGGATGACATGGTAACGATGGGCATGTCAGGGGAGTGGCTTGGCATGGCTGCTCACATGGGTGCGGCTGACATGGCTCACATGGCATCAGGGACACCAGCAGCTGACACTCCCTCATCTGCATACACTGCGTCTGCTACCAGTGCTGCTGAATCTCCATTACAAGCGTCTCCGTTACAATCCTCCTCTCCGTTTCCAGACAGCACCACTACTTTCACTGACCTGTCTGCTATCCCTCCAGTGTTCCTCCCGCCCCCTGCCATCCAGCCTCCCCCACTAGTACCACCTCCCCCTTCCCATCAAATCAATGAGTGTGAGTGTGAGGAGGAGCCCCTGCCGCTCTCCTCCCTCCTGCGCGCCCACCATCCGCACCTGCTCCCGCCTGCCGCTGCCCCATCCGCCTCTGCTGCTCCCCCCCACCCCCTCAAGCACGGGCTCTGGCGCAAAAATCACTCCGCTCTCACCACTGCCGCCCTCACTGCTGCTGCTGCAGCCGCCGCCTCCGCTGCTGCTGCTGGGGCTGATGCTGCTGCTGATGCTGGTGCTGGTGGTGCGTCTGGGTTCTCCTCTTCCCCCTCCCCCTCCCCCTACCAGCTGCTCCTCTCTCGCTCCATACTTAGTCGCACCATCCAGCCTGCCTCTGCTCCTGCTGCTGGCCCAGAAGCTGCTTCAGGTGCTGCTTCAGGTGTCCCTTCAGGTGCCGCACTAGATGCAGGTGCTGGCAACAGTGATGCTGCGGCTGTGGCTGCAGCGGACGATTCTGCAGCAGCATCTGCTATTAACGCGGATACTGCTCCCACCGGTGCACTTGCTGCTGCTACCACTGCTTCATTAACATTGGCAACCGCTGGTGACACGCCCGGTGCCATTTCTCCACTTGAGGCGCCTCAACAGCACTCCGCCCCGGTGCCCTCTGCAGAGCATACAAGCACAGACCACACCGAGACTACTCCACCTGCCCCCGTTTCAGTCACACCACAACAGCCCAGCATAGCTTCGATCTTCCCAAGCCTCGTCGCCTACGCCTCCCGACCGGGAGCCTTGGGCCGAGCCTCCGTGCTTTACCGCATGCGCAGCTTCGGCGGCGCCATGCACGGTTCGTCAGCCAATCACGACGCGACAACTGGCGAGGGGATGGAGGAAGGAGCGGTAGCAGAGGCTCTGGAGCGCCTAGGAGAGTCTGGCGCTGGGGGAATGGTGGGGGAAGAGGGAGGCGGAGGCGGAGGCAGAGGGGGAGGGGGAGTGGGAGGGGGAGGGGGACTGGGACTGGGCGGAAGAGGTGGGTTTGCAGAGGGAGAGGGAGTGGATAATGAGATGTGGGAGTATAGCGAGGAGGAGGCGAATGCAGCAGCAGCAGAAGCCCTGTCGGTGTTTGGGTTCCCTTTCTCCCTGGAGGGCTTTGCTCTGGATGGTGGTGGGGAGGTGGAAGGGAGTGGGGAGGAGTGGGGAGGGATCACAGGCGGGGAAGCAGCAGCAGCAGCAGCAGCAGCAGCGGGTGGTGTTAGCACCGCTGCTGCTGCTGCGGCTCCTGATACTGAGAAGCAAGGTGGCTCCGGTGGCTCTGTTAACGGTGTGAATGTGACTGTAAGCGGGGATCAGTTCACCTTCAACGCTGGAAGCACTGCCAATAATTACAACAGCAGCAACAACAACGGAGGCGGCGGACTTGCTGACGTGGAAGTGGACCCAGCTGACGAGGACGGCGAGCTGGATGAGGTGGCAGTGGAGGCGAGTCTACGTCAGCTTGAGCTGGCACTGGAGCAAGGGCTGTTACCAGATGAGGTGGACGGGCTGAGGAGAGAGCTGGAGGCGTTGGTAGAGAGGGGAACGAGGAGGGCGAGGAGAGGGGGGCGGATAGAGAGCGCGGAGGGGGAGGGCAGGGCTTTGGTGGAGGAAGTAGAAGGGGAGGGAGTAAGGGAGGGGGTTGTGATGGGGGGAGAGGTGGAGGGGATGGAGGAGGGAGGAGGGGAGGAGGTTGGGGAATGGGGCGAGGGGGGTAGGGTTGAGGTGGAGAGAGAGGGGAGTGGAGATGAGAGGGAGGAGGAGAGGGAGAGTGAGGGGGGAGGGAGTGAGGAGGGGGAGGGCGGGTTTGGGATGGAGATGAAGAGAGATGTGACTCCGTACCACGAGTTAGAGGGGGGCAGCGATGGGAGGGGCGGCAAGGAGGGCAGGGAGGGAGTGGAGGTGGGAGGAGGCGAGGAGGAGGAGAAGGGAGGGGTGGAGGGAGAGGAGGAGGCGAGAGGAGAGAGTGAGGAGGCGCGGAGTGCACAGGAGGGTGGGATGAGTGAGGGGGGGAGGGCGAAGGGGAGGTGGAGAGGGACGAGGTGAATGCAGGTGCTGAGTATGGTGGGGATGACGCGGCAGGCGAGCAGCGTGCGGAGGGTGGCAGGGGTGGTGAGATGAATGAGGAGAGTGCAATGGGTGCGATGGGTCAGAGCAGTGAGGAGGATGGGGGGGGTGAGGGGGGTGAGGAGGGAGGGGTGCTGGAGGAGGGGGAGAAGAGCGAGGAGCGGGAGGAGAGCGAGGAGGGGGAGAAGAGCGAGGAGGGGGAGGAGAGCGAGGAGGGGGAGAAGAGCGAGGAGGGGGAGGAGAGCGAGGAGGGGGAGAAGAGCGAGGAGGGGGAGGAGAGCGAGGAGGGGGAGAAGAGCATAGAGGCAGAGAGAAGGGAGGCGGGAACTGACGAGCCATGCGCAATCTCCCAACCCACTCCCCCGCATCCCGCCAAGCCTCTCCCTCCCTCTCTCTCCGCCCACGTGGACGCGCTCTCTGCTGACCTGGACGCTGAGTCAGCAGCAGCTGTAGCAGCGGCTGTAGCAGCGGTGTCAGCAGAAGTAGACGAGATCACCAGTGGCGGCTGTAGCACGGGCAGCAGCCCCAGCCGCGTGGGGCTGGGGCTGATGGGCGAAATGAGTATGAGCAGCACGGGGAGCGGGGGAGGCGTGCTGGGGGGAGGGGGAGGGTTGGGACTGGGGAGCAGTCCTGCCAGCGTTACCTGGGGTGCTGTTAGTCCAGGGAGTGTGGCTTCTGGTGGCGGTGGTAGTGGTGGTGGTGGTGCGGGCAGCAGGAGTGGGAATGCGGGCGATGGCGGTGGGAGTGGCGGTGCAGGATGGGCAGCAGGAGGAAAGGAGGACGACGGGGTAAGAGGAGGAGCAGCAGGGGCAGCAGGGGCAGCAGGCGCAGCAGGGGCAGCAGGGGCAACGGGAGGGAGTGAGAAGCTACACACAGCGGGAGCAGGAGCAGCGGAGAAGCCCTTGGACAAGCTGTCGGACAAGCCGCTGTACACGGTGGGGCACTGGCTGCGGCAGGTGGACATGGCGGAGGCGGAGGGGCGTCTGGCGGTGGCGGTGCGCCTGTTTGAGCTGGCGGAGCGCTGCAACGCGCAGCCCGCCACGCTGCTGCGAGTGGCGCGCTCGCAGTTCATGCGCCGCCACGGACCCAAGCTCTCAGCTCTCGCTGCTGCTGCTGGGAACAGTCCTGCTGCTGCTGCTGCTGCTGCTGCTGCTGCTGGTGCTGCTGGTGCTGCTGGTGCTGCTGGTGGTGCTCTTGGTGGTGTGAATAGTCCATCCCACTCCCCGCTCTCCTCCCCAGCAGAATCACCTCGTCACACCACTCTCCATCAACCATCCAGCCCATCTGCCTCCTCCCTCCCAAACCCTATCTCCAACTTCTCACTCTCCCCTCTCTCCTCCCCTCCTCGCTCCTCCAACCCTCCTCTCCCCCCTTCTCTCACCCCCTTCCCCACGCCCCCTCCCCCCTCCCTCTCCACCTTCGACTGGCGCCTGCAGCCCACAGCAGGGGGCAGTGAGAGGGGCGCAGCAGGCGCAGGGGGGAAAGCGCCCAGCGGAATCGCCTCCAGCTATGCGTCCAGCCCTCCCCACTCCCCCCTTGCTGCCACTACCCCAGGCTCCTCCCCCCGCTCGTCTTTCTCTCTCTCCCCGGCTGATGCCCTGCCGCCCCTACCGGAGACCTTTGCGCCTCGCAGGGGTGGTGTGGGGAGGTGCTTGGTCTTTGAGAGTGTTGGGGAGGGGAGGCGTGGGGGGGAAAGAGCGGGGATGGAGGAGGAGGAGGAGGAGCGGGGTGCTTCAGCCGCCTCTAGTACTGCTGCTGGCGATGATGATAGCAGCGGTGGTAGTTGTGATGGTGGTGCTGATGACGGGGGGAGAGAAGGAGAGGGGCGGATTGAAAAGGATGGCGAAGGGATAGGAGACGTGGGGAGGGAGCATGGAGGGGAAAGCAGGAGGGAAGTGGACAATGGTGAGGTAGGGGAGGTTGGCGTTGCAGGGAGTGCAGGTGCAGAGACGCAGGAAGGAGAGAGAGGGGGTCGGGAGGAGTGGGAGGAGCAGGAGAAGAGTTGGGAGCATGGAAGCACCGGGGTGACTTTTGAGTCGGCTCAAAAGCGGGAGGAGCAGGAGAACGGCTGGGAGCATGAAAACCAAATCCGTCGCTCAGAGGACCGGGGGGAGGATTGGGAGCATGAAAACAACATCCGTTGCTCAGAGGACCGAGGGGGGGAGCGGGGGAAGGATTGGGAGCATGAAAACCACATCCGTTGCTCAGAGGATCGGGTGCAGGCATGGGCACAAGAAAACCTCCCAGGTCCGGCGCTAGACGAGGATGGGAGCGGCAAGTCCGGGACCGGAGGAGGTGGCTCGGGGCTAGGCTCGGAAGCAGGCTTGGATCTCCCAGATGGCAGTCACCGAAACAGCAGCAGTGGGAGCAGGCAGGGAACTGTGGGGATTCAGGCAGTGGGCTCGAGTGGCATAAGTGTGAGCAAAGGCAGTGGGGCTTCCTGCATTGAAACTAGTGCTGCTGGTGCTAGCGGTGGTGATGGTTGTGGGGTAGGCGTAGTGGAGGAAAGGCTGAGTGAGGGAGAGGATGGAAGGAGGACGGCAGACGCAGAATCCGAGGACGAGGAAGAGGCAGGGGCCCAGGGAGATGCAGGGGGGGGAGCAGCAGGAGCTGCTAGGAGTAGGGACGGGACAGCAGCAGCAGAAGCCACAGAGGCTGCAATAGCAGCTGAGTCCAATACAGCAGGAGCAGCGGCAGTGGCGGGGGCAGCAGCGGCAGCGGCAGCAGCAGCGGCAGGGAGGAGTGTGGCAGTGCGGGAGGGGAGTGTGCTGGCGAAGCTGAAGCGCGCCACTGCCCAGCTGAGGCAGTTGCGGGAGAACTACCTGGGGGAGGGCCAAAAGGGGGAGGGCCAGCTGAGGGACGGTGCTTCTGAGGGTGCTTCTGAGGGTGGTGCGTCAGCAGGGGTGGAGAAAGCTGCAGCTGCTGCAGCAGCGCCAACGCTCCCAGCCAAAAACTCCTCCTCTCAGCCATCCATCCCTGTCTCAGCATCTGCCTCCGCTGCTGCTGCCTCAGCAGCCGCCCGTCTCGCTGCCCGTACCAGCAGCACCAGCAGCAACACCAGCATCACGCCCCTTGCAGGGCTCTCAATCCCAGGTTTCTCTGCACCAAACCCAGTGCCAAGCTTGCAAGGCTTGCAGGGTTACCATGGTTCAGGGCCAGTTCCCCTGGGGCCAGTCCTCCTGGGCCCAGTTTCCCCTGGAGCCAACGCCCCTCCCTCTCCCTTTGCCCGCGCATCCTCTTCCTCCTCGCTCGGCCGCATTCCCTCCTCTGAGTCCCTCCGCACCGACCCCACCTTCTCGGTGTACGTCCGGAGGTCTGGCTCGGCCCGAACCTCGGTCTCAGCTGCGGAGGAGACCGAGCCTAGTGAAGGAGTGGTGGAAGGGGGGATGGAGGGCGGGGAGGGTGGGGATGGTGGGGAGGAGGATGCTGAGAGCGTGAGGGGAGTGGATGGAGGGGTAGGGGTGAGAGGGACGGAAGAGGAGGAACGGAAGGGAGGGAGTGATGCTGGGTTTGGTGCGGATGGGATGAATGGTGCGTGTGATAAGGGAGAGGAGGATGGGGAAGAGGGAAGAGAGGAAAGGAAGGCAGGAGCAGAGGAAGAGGTAGAGGCGGAAGGAGAGGCGGACGGGAAAGAGGGAGCAGAGCAAGTTGGCCCAACGCAGCATCTTTCATCTGCTGCTACTGCTGCTGCTGGTGGTGCTGCTGCTGCTGGAAATACAGATTCGAACCTCTCATCAGCTTCTGTAGCTGCTGCTGCTGCTGCTGCTGCTGCTGCTCCACCTCCTCCTCCCCCCCCCATGGCAACCTCTCCCGCCTCATCACCGCACCACACTCTCGCCTCTCTCTCCTCCCTCTCCTCCTCCCCAGCCTTCATCCCTCCTCTCTCCCTCGACGCCACAGCTGCCAGCAGTGTGCGCTCCAACCCCGATGCTTCTCCCCTTGCCAATCCTAGCCCTCCTGCCCTGGCACCCGAAGCTGGTCTTCACAGGCTCGGGCAGACCGCAACGGCTCGGAAGGAGCTGTTCCCCGGGGCTGCAGGCCAGGCTCGTACTCTTGGGTTTGGTGACTTGGTGGCAGCAGCACCAGGCAGAGCAGGTGAAACTGCATCGAGTTCAATGACCGTAACTCGAACCACAGTGACTGCTGGCATTTGTGCTGGCATTGGTGCGAGTGGTATTGGTGCCGGCAAGCCCCGCTCCCCCCCTCTCTCGTCCTCCTCTACTCGACTCCCACCTCACTCGTCGTCCTCTCGTCCCTCACGAGCAGCAGCAGTGCAAAGCACAAGTGAGGCCACAAGTGAGGTCACAGATGTAGCAGCACCAGTAAGCGCACAAGTCAAGGCACTCGGGTCAGAAATTACGGCTGATGCACCTGTATCAGCAGCAACTGCTGCCGCTGCTGCTGCACCTGGAAGGGCGGTCACTGCTACAGCTGGGAAGGTCATTGCTGCTACAGCTGGGAAGGACACTGCTGCTACAGCTGGAAAGGTCACTGCTGCTACAGCTGGGAAGGTCACTGCTGCTACAGCTGGAAAGGTCACTGCTGCTACAGCTGGGAAGCTCACTGCTGCTACAGCTGGGAAGCTCACTGCTGCTGCTGCTAGGAAGGTCTCTGCTGCTGCTGGAGCGGCGGCCGCTGTAGCAAAGCAGGCCCCACGCTCTCCTCCCTTTGGTTCCTCCTCCACTCGTTCCACCTCGCCTCGTTCCCCCTCCCTCAATGCGTCCACTCCTCCCTCCTCCCCTTTAAAGACACGAACCCCCTCACGCGCTCCCCATTCCCCTCCCACTGGTTCCACAACTCCTACTGCCTCCCGCTCTCTTCCCCCCTCTGCTCGCTCTCCTCCCCTCACTTCTCGGTCTCCTCCCCTCACTTCTCGCTCTCCTCCCCTCAATTCTCGGTCTCCTCCCCTCACTGCCTGCTCTTCTCCTCCCCTCAATGCCCGCTCGTTCACACCCCTCACTGCTCGTTCTCCCCAGCGTCAGCCACAGCAGCAGATGCAGCAAGAGCAGAAGCAGCAGCAGCAGGGTGGGACCAGAAAGGCAGATAATGCTGCAGCGGTAGGGGCAGGAGACGCTGCAGCTGAGGTAGGCACATCTGGTGTGGGCACAACTGGGGTAGGCATGTGGGAGGCTGGCACATCAGGCATAGGCGCATCTGGGGAAGGTGTATCTGTGGGAGCTGGAGGGGTTGTGAAACGATCCTGGGGTGGCTGGAGCAAGGGCTCCGCTGGTCAACGGATAAGTCAACTTGGGTCAACGGAGGAAGGGATGAGTCAAACGGAGTCACACAGTGGAGAAATGAATCAACCCAGGTCAACGGAGGGAGAGTTGAGTCAACCAAAGGCAACGGAGGGAGAGTTGAGTCAACCCAAGTCAACTGAGGGAGAGACGAGTCAACCAAAGTCAACGGAGGGTGTACTTCTGCAGGGCGGGGGCATTGGGAGGTACGGTGGGTTCGGGAGAAACGGAGGCATAGGAGGCATAGGGAGCAATGGAGGCATAGGGAGCAACGGGGCAATAGGGAGCAACGGAAGCATAGGAGGCATAGGGAGCAACGGCGGCATTGGGAGCAACGGGGGCATTGGGAGCAACGGGGGCATAGGGAGCAACGGAGGAGGTGGTGGTGGTGGTCGGAGCGGTGGAATCGGGCGATTCACAGCTTCATCCGTCACCCCTTCAGAGTCCCTCCTCATCCTTCCATCTGCTGCTGAAACCAACCTGCCCACAGGGGTGCATACGAACACACACCACACACCCCACACCCCCCGCACACCAACCGCCCTCAGCTCTCCTCGTTCCCCACATGCCTTCTCCCCCCACACCCCCCTCGCACACTTTTCCGCGTCTTCCTCTCGTCGATCCCCTCCAATGGGATCTCGACACATGGATTATCGACACACAATTTCCCCACACGTGGAGTCGCGGTACATGGCATCAGCCATGGCAGCAGCAGCACCGCCTGTCTCCCCAGCTATTGCCATGGCCATGGGAGGAAGCCCTCGCGGTATAAATAGCCACGCAACGGGCGGCGTGGGCAGCATGGGCAGCCCCTCTGGCAGCGCCAGTAGCACCCACGGTGCTCTGCTGCTGCGAACCAGTGGCAGCTGCGGCAGCGGTGGCTTCGCCCTGCCTGCTGCTGCTGCTGGCAGTGCCGGTGGGGTGAGAGGGGTAGGAGGTGGGGGCATGGGTGGAGGGAGTGGGGGGGAGAGGAGGAGGAGCAGGGAGCAGCAGATGGCAGCGATGGTGGAAAAGTGGCCCAAGAGCCTCAGAGGTGCTTCTGCTGCCAGGGGAGGGGGGACACATAGACCTGCCAGTGCTGCTGCTGCAGGGGGGGTGGGAAGGGCGAAGCCAGCCTGGGGCAGTGGGCCTGGAGCAAGGAGGTGATGAGAGGAGCGACAGTGAGCAAGGGGGGGAGGAGGTGGAGGGAGAGGGATAGGAGGTGCTTGCTTTGCTGTGGTTCCATCAAGGAAGGAAGGAAGAGCACTGCTCATTGCGGGGTTGCCCTGAGAGGCTTCTCACAGCCAGGCCTGGAGAAGAGATGGTGAGAAAAAATGATAGTTATGTAGAGAATACTAGGACTGCTAGTGATGCGAGATGGATTGCCGTGTGTTGAATATATGATAGTTACGGAAGGCTCGTGCTGCGGACCGCCCTGCAAAAAAACCAGGCTTCTTTGTTTGTCAATATTGCAGTACTACAATGCTGTCTTCTTGTAGATGTACTACTAAAACAAAGATGAGCAGTAGACCTCGCCAAATGGTCGCATGGGCAAGAATCTGCCTGTACTCTTAGCTGCTGCTACGCCAGCACTCCCATCCCCATGTCTCTTCACTGGCGCTCTGTATGATGCTGTATGCCCAGCGCCCCTCTCCGGCATGCTATGGAAAAGCACACCAAATGGCCGCATGGGCACGAATCTGCCTGCACTCTAAACCGCAGCTACGCCAGCACTCCCATCCCCGTCTCTCCTCACTGGTGCTCTGTACGATGCTGCACACCCAGCATCCCTCTCTTGTATGCCGTGGAAAAGCGGCCCAAACGGCCGCATTGGCACAAATCTGCCCGCTCCCCGGGTGACGTTGAGCTGCCCGTGCTGCCACACCACCGTGCCCTGGCTCACTGTCACCTCCACGTTGCCCTGTGAGATGGTTAGGGCCGGTTGAGAGGAAGAAGGGATGGTTGGGGATGGTTGGGGGCGGTTGAGAGAAAGAAGGGATGGTGGGGAAGAGATGGGATGGTTGGGGATGGTTGGGGAACAACTTCATCTCCTCATCTCCACATTGCCACATCGCCACACCACCCTGCCTGGCTCACTGTCACCTCGACGTTGCCCTGTGGGAGTGACTGGGAATGGTTGGGGAAGAGAAGGGATGGTTGAGGAAGAGAAGGGATGGTTGGGGAAGAGAAGGGATGGTTGGGGAAGAGAAGAGATGGTTGGGCAAAGAGGGAAGAAACAGGTATGAGCTCTCCTGCTCATTCCCACCCCACCCTGCCCTCACTTGCCACACAACTCTACCCTTGCCTGCCATATATACCCCTCCACCCGCCTTCATGCGCCACCCCTCAAGGACATGTGTGTCCATGCGGAGTGGCGAGTAGCAACACCGATAGTCTAAGCATGCCCCCCAAAAGCTGTATGCCGATTATCCCACCTGCATCCGCCACCCCTCATAGACATTCGTGTCGATGCGGAGTGGTGAGTGGCAGCACGGATGGGGGTGTGCACACTGCATCAGCAGTATGCTAGTTGTCAGATGCGTCAGGAGCATCACCCCATACAGATTATCCCACCTTCATTCTCCACCCCTCGTAGACATTCGTGTCGATGCGCGAGTGGTGAGTGGCAGCACTGATGCTGGTGCTGCCACGCGGATTCAAGACTATCAGGTCAGCATCTGACCCCTCCGCCACCACCCCCTTCAGTGGGTACAGGTTGAATATCTTGGCGCTGAGGTGGTGGTAGGAAAGGGGAAGGAGGGGAGAGGAGAACCTTCATTCCGCCCTACTGGGGGTACAGGTTGAATATCTTGGCGCTGAGGTGGTGGTAGGAAAGGGGAAGGAGGGGAGAGGAGAACCTTCATTCCGCCCTACTGGGGGTACAGGTTAAATATCTTGGCGCTGAAGGGGGGGGGAGGGAGAGGTCGGTAAGATAGGGGAGGGGTTACAGGTGTAGCGAGCGTGGTGCGTGGGTTCAACACAATCAGGTTGGCATCTGACCCCTCCGCCACCACCCCCTTCTGCGGGTAGAGGTTGAAAGGGGGCATGTATTCGGAGGGAAGGGGGGGGAGGGAGAAGGGGGGCGAATGGTGGAGAGGGGGGGAGAGGGGGGAGAGGGGGGGAGAGGGGCATAGTGCCACATTTTGAATATCTTGGCGCTGTGGCAGGATGAAGGTTTTAAAAGAGGGGGAAGAGGCGAGAAAAGGGGGGGTGGAAGGGGGGAGGAAGGGGCAGAAGCTTGAATATCTAGCCGCTGTAGGAAGGATGGAGCATGAGGGAGGTTGGGGAAGGAGGAAACGACGGGTCAATGAATCACAGGCTTGTTTCTTCACGCGGTAGCTGCACGGCAAGTTCGTTAACCTGCAAAGAGACGTCTCAAGACTAGCCTACTTCACCAATGAAGCACAGGCTTGCTTCTTCATGCTGTAGCTGCAGAGAGCACGGGGGGGTTGTGGAAAGGGGAGCGCTTGTAGCTCACCATTCTGTGCTGCTGATTCACACGCCTGTGCCAATGACTCACCACTCTCTGCTGCTGACTCACCACTCTGTACTTGTGATGCGGACATAATCACTAGGTGACATGAGACCCGAATTCTGCAATTGGGGGAAGGAGGAAGGGGCAAGGGCGGTAAGGAGGGGTGACGGAGAGAGAGAGGGAGAGAGGTGTAATATGCAACAATCATGCGCACAAAAAAAACCATGAACTCACCTTGTGATGTCCCTCGTTCACTCACCACCATCACATCCCATGCCCACTCACCACCATCACATCCCATGCCCACTCACCACCATCACAACCCATGCCCAATCACCACCATCACATCCCATGCCCACTCACCACTATCACATCCCATGCCCACTCACCACCATCACAACCCATGCCCAATCACCACCATCACATCCCATGCCCACTCACCACCATCACATCCCATGCCCACTCACCACCATCACATCCCATGCCCACTCACCACCATCACATCCCATGCCCACTCACCACCATCACATCCCATGCCCACTCACCACCATGTCATCCCTCGTTCACTCACCACCATCACATCCCATGTGATATGCATGCGCTCCTCTATGCCTGCACGCATGGAAAGACACAAGCCATGCGCGCATGGAAAGACACAAGGTCATGCGTGCACGCACGCATGCAGAAGAAACGATTAGGGCAACACCAACCAGGAAGGGGAGAGGCAGAAACGAATCGACATGCACACACATGCTTGCTTGTGTCGTACGTGCGAACAAGCTGTCTCACCATTCACCCATTCACCACAGTGACGCTCATTGCACCAGTCACACCATACAGGTTAATGTCACCATTCAGCACAGTAACAGTTCACACACCATTCGGGCTAGCAACAGTTCACACACCATTCACTCCGTTGGGAATGAGACGGAAATCATGCCGACCACGCGCCTTCTGAGAGGAGTTGAAGGGGCAGTGGTCAGTGGCTACCAGCTGAGGGGAGAGGAGGCAGTGAGGGAGGGAGGGGGGCAAAAGGGTGCCTTGTGATGGAAGTTGAAGGGACAGCAGCTCGTGGCTAGCAGCTCATTTGAGACTAGTCATTTTTTAGAATTCTCAAAATTCAGGGAGGCTGGAAAGGGAGGAACAAGGAGTGGGAAATGTATTGAGCCCCAACACAACATAGACGTACCCATGCATGGGTACGCAATGCCTGGAAAAAAAATCTCTATCCAACATGGGTGCATGGAGGCCGTGGGTGGCGGGGGGTCAAACAGGCCTGTACCTGCAGGGTGCCCGTGGCAAGAGCTGCTTTGACTGCTGCCACGTGCTCTGCTGAGCGGATGGGTGGACTCATGACGAACCTGCAGGGAGGGGGAAGACAGTCACAGGAGGCTGCCCTTATTAGGGATACTGTGAGAGGCGAGGTCTCTGCATGCAATGGCATGGGAGTACCGTATGCGATGGCTGAATTCAGCATGGCATGCCATGGCATGGATGCACACTGTTGAATGCAATGTGGCAAGCCAATGGCATGGATGCACACACACTGCTGTTTGCAACATGGCAGGCATGGTCCTGACCCTGAACTGAATGCAGCCAACCTACTGAGCAGCATGACTGAAGTCAGGGGACCAGAGGTGCGAGTCGTTGAGAGCAATTCCCGATACCACTGGTTCTCCCACCACGCGCTGCCCTGCCATGGGGGCATGCCGGGGATACAAAGTACAGAGGCACGCAACAGATGCACGCAACAGATGCACGCAACAGATGCACGCAACAGATGCACGCAACAGATGCACGCAACAGATGCACGCAACAGATGCACGCAACAGATGCACGCAACAGAGGCACGCAACAGATGCACACAACAGAGGCACGCAACAGATGCACGCAACAGATGCACGCAACAGATGCACGCAACAGATGCACGCAACAGATGCACGCAACAGATGCACGCAACAGATGCACGCAACAGATGCACGCAACAGATGCACGCAACAGATGCACGCAACAGATGCACGCAACAGATGCACGCAACAGATGCACGCAACAGATGCACGCAACAGATGCACGCAACAGATGCACGCAACAGATGCACGCAACAGATGCACGCAACAGATGCACGCAACAGAGGCACGCAACAGATGCACGCAACAGAGGCACGCAACAGATGCACGCAACAGATGCACGCAACAGATGCACGCAACAGGTGCACGCAACAGATGCACGCAACAGATGCACGCAACAGATGCACGCAACAGATGCACGCAACAGATGCACGCAACAGATGCACGCAACAGATGCACGCAACAGAGGCACGCAACAGAGGCATGCAACAGAGGCACGCAACAGATGCACGCAACAGATGCACGCAACAGATGCACGCAACAGATGCACGCAACAGATGCACGCAACAGATGCACGCAACAGATGCACGCAACAGATGCACGCAACGGACGAACACAAGCCAATGGACACAAGCAGTGTTTAGGCATCTCCTTTTTTTGCTTGGGACTTGAAAATGGGAAGATTTGAGAAGGCAAACAATCGCACCTCTCCGCCTTGTCTCTGCCACCTCCTCTGCAGCGCCAGCACTCAAGGGGTGCCAGACAAGGGGTGCCACGCAAGGGGTGCCACACAAGGGGTGCCACACAAGGGGTGCCACACAAGGGGTGTCACACAAGGGGTGCCACACAAGGGGTGCCACACAAGGGACACAAACAGCTGGACCAAGTATAACTGCACCTCTCTGCCTGGCCTCTGGCACCTCCCCTGCCGCGCCAGCGCTGATCCCATGCACCACATACAGCGGGGGTTGCCACACATGGGGCTTATGATAAACAGCCTCGCCAAGTATTGCCTCACCTCTCCGCCTGGCCTCTGCCACCTCCCGTGCTGCACCCGCGCTCACCACATGCACCATGTACAGCGATGACGGGTACCACATACAGCCTCACCAGATCCAGGCGTACTACATACATTCTTCGTGAAAAACGTCTCACCTCTCCGCCTGGCCTCTGCCACCTCCCGTGCGGCGCCCGCGCTCACCACATGCACCACGTACAGCGACGACAGGTACCACATACAGCCTCACCAGATCCAGGCGTACTACATACATTCTTCGTGAAAACGTCTCACCTCTCCGCCTGGCCTCTGCCACCTCCCGTGCGGCGCCCGCGCTCACCACATGCACCACGTACAGTGACGACAGGTACCACATACAGCCTCACCAGATCCAGGCGTACTACATACATTCTTCGTGAAAACGTCTCACCTCTCCGCCTGGCCTCTGCCACCTCCCGTGCTGCACCCGCGCTCACCACGTGTACTACGTACAGCGACGACAGGTATCACATACAGCCTCACCAGATCCAGGCGTACTACATACATTCTTCGTGAAAACGTCTCACCTCTCCGCCTGGCCTCTGCCACCTCCCGTGCTGCACCCGCGCTCACCACATGTACTACGTACAGCGACGACAGGTATCACATACAGCCTCACCAGATCCAGGCGTACTACATACATTCTTTGTGAAACAGACTCACCTCTCCGCCTGGCCTCTGCCACCTCCCGTGCGGCGCCAGCGCTCATCACATGCACCACGTACAGCGGCACTCCCACCACATTGGCCAGCCGAATGGCTCTGCCAGTGGCCTCCTCCTCCACCTGCATTTGGACGCAGCAAGAAGCAAGAGTTGGAGGCAGAGAGCGCAGCAGTTGAGCACACATGCGGTGAGCACTGAGCACGGTGCTGATCACATGCACCACGTACGGCGGCACTCCCACCACGTTGGCCAGCCTAATGGCCCTGCCAGTTGCTTCCTGCTCCACCTGCAGTCAAAAGGAGAGAGGGTCACACGAGTCGAAGAGTCTATGGATCCGCCAGAAAATGAGCTCTGCATGCCATTGGGAAAAACACAGCCTGGCAGGGCACGCCTCATGCGCTTCAGGTCACTTCAGCGCCCGCCGTTGAGAATGCGCTAATGGGCGGTCACCAAAGCTCAAAGAGAGAGGTCTGAGGCAAGTCATCAAAGCCCCACCAACCAAACCCGGGCTCATACAATACTATGTCGATGCACATAACATGACAGAACAGGACGCACCTCAGGAGGGCGGGATAGGGGGTGGCCTTCTGGTCCGGTGATCCCAAGATTGAATATGTGCTGCTGCCCCCACACCACTGCATCGCCGTTCTCTGCATGCACCTGCACACACGGAGAGAGGTTAGGAAGGGGCTTTTGGGCAGATAAGTGCAGTGATCCCAAGGTCGATGCCTCCACACCACTGCGTCTCCGTTCTCTGCACACGCGGGAGGGTAAGAGTAGCTTTCAGGTTGTTGGGCGCGTGGGCCTACACGCACAGGGGCCACGTGGGCCTACATGCACAGGGGGCACGTGGGGCTACACCAACAGGGGGCACGTGGGCCTACATGCACAGGGGGCACGTGGGCCAACCCGCACAGGGGGCACGTGGGGCTACATGCACAGGGGGCAAGTGCAATGCAATAATTCAATCACGTTTTGAGGGAATTTTATTAATGCTTATATAATTTCAACTGGTAAGTTATAAGAAGCGGCTTTAGCACTTGCTAATTCATTTTCCGTAATTTAATTTTATAAACAACTTATAAAAAATACTTTGATCTCGCTCCAGACAATTCAATTAACTTATTTGGTAAACCAGGACGACAATGTGCTGGAATTGCAATACACTTTTTACCACTTAAATATTTGCCAGTAATGCTAGCAGGATTAACTGCACCGTCAAGAGAAGAATAAATCTCATTTGATGCTTGTCGATTTTTTATTATAACTTGTTTGCTTGTATTGTCGTTAACAGTGGTGTAAATTATGTAGTTGACAAGTCACTTTGGGCCAACACGCACGCAGGGCACGTGGGCCTACACACAGAAAGGATAGGAGGAGGGACAAGAGCTGGGGGAAGCAAGCGTCGGGGGGGCACCGGACCTGGGGAATGGCTCTCAGCTGCTTGCAGCGCGTGAACCCAGCCAGCAGCGGTTCATCGCCCACCTGCAGTGCGCCCTTGCTTGCTGCTTGCTTGGGTGCTCTGCTGGCACGGTATCAGGTGAAGCAAGATGCATCTCTCACCTGGGGAATGGCTCCCAGCTGCTTGCAGCGCGTGAACCCCTCTAGCAGCTGTTCATCGTCCACCTGCAGGGCGCCCTTGTACGCCATGAAGAACTTGAACGAGTTGACGCCTGGCAGTGGCACGGGTGTGGTTAGTATCAGAGGGAAGAGGGATAAGTATGCCTTGAAGAACTTGAACGAGTTGACGCCTGGCGTGCATGTGCGTTAGAGGACTGAGAATGGTGGGAGGAGAATATGTGGTTGAGGGCTTGCTTGCATGCCATGAAGAACTTCAACTGATGGATGGGATGTGGAGAGTGAATTGAGAATCGGAGGGGAACATGTGGTTGAGGGCTGGCATGACATGAAGAACGTGGAGTTAATGCCTGGCGTGCATGTGCATTAGAGAAAGGAGAATGAAGGGGGCTTGTCTGCTATACAGGAAACACACCCTTCCAATCCTCTCACCTCGCTTCACCACCTCTTCCATATCCCTTTCCACCGCCTCACTCCACCGCGTAACACCCATGTGAAACCCATAGTCCATCACTGCATTGCCCTTCGCCTTCGCCTCATACTCCCCCAAAATTCCCAGCAGGTCTTCCCCAGCAGCAGGCGTGGCGCCCAGCACATAGTCGATGTGGAAGGTGGTTCCGCCGGCTAGTGCTGCTGCCTGGCCGGAGTAGAAGTCGTCACAGGATTCGGTCCCCATGAAGGGCATGGCGAGATGGGTGTGCGGGTCGATGCCACCTGGATAGAATGAGCAGGGGGGAGAGCGGGAGGAAACCCTACTTCAAAAACCCTCACAGCAAGTCTTCCCCCGCAGCAGGCGTGGCGCCCAGCACATAGCCGATGTGGAAGGTGGTTCCGCCGGCTAGTGCCGGCCAGAGTAGAAGTCATCACAGGATTCGGTGCCCATGAAGGGCATGGCAAGGTGAGTGTGGAGGTCGATGCCACCTGCAAGGTAGAGAGGAAGGATATGAAGGCGAAAGTTGAGGGTGGCGCCCAGCACATAGACTTTGTGGAAGGTGGTTCTACCGGCTGGCGCTGCCGCCTGGCCGGAGTAGAAGTCGTCACAGGATTCGGTGCCCATAAATGGCATGGCGAGGCGAGGTGCGTGTGGGGTTCAAGTCAACAACGACATGGAGTGAAAGAGCAGAAAGAGTGGCATGGCCATGGGGCCTGTCCTGAGAACAACATTACTTGACAAGAAAAGGCCACAGAAACATGTGGAGGTGGAGGTTACACCATCAAACTCACACATTTAGTACAAGATGGTAAACGGTACCTGGCATCACGTACTTCCCAGAAGCATCGATTTTCTGAACCCAGTCTGGAACCTGCCAGCCACGTCAGCAGGACCAATCATGTCAGTCAAAACGAACACGTCAGCAGGACGAGTCAGCACACCAGGTCTTTGAGAACGCAGCAAAAGGATGGAAACAGAAGTCCAACACTCGTTATGCGAGGCTTTGACTGTCTTGCATCGGAATCCAACGGCGAGACGGCCCGTATCTGAAGCAGGACTGGCACGGAAATGCCGGAGCAAAACACCTCACCTTGATGCTTGGGCGGACGAGCTTGATGGTTCCATCCTCGATATAAACATCTGCAGCGAATTCGCCGTCCGCGTTAACGACAGTGCCTCCCGCTATAAGCAGATGGGAGCGAGATTCGGGCGACGGCGAGATTACTTCAGAAGAGACGGCGGAGCAGAATGACGGAGACGGTGACGCCTGAAATATTGTTTTTTAAAATAAAAATATAATAAGAAACCTTCAGCAGCTGAGTTGGTTATTGAGAATTCTCAGAAAATTTCAGCAGCTGACAAGTGACAGCGGACGGGAAACGTCTCAATGCATTTCGACGATATTTGTTGATTGTTTACGTATTTAGAGGGGATGCAAGCTAGTGAAGAGCAAGAACGCTAACAAGGCACCACCTTCGCACAAAGGACCGATATGTACGGCAGAAAAACACCTCAAAAACGCCTCATATGGAGGCGTGACAGGAGGAAGAAGACAAAGCATACACGCGAGCATGGTAAGGAACACACTAACACACCTTGGAAACGGAAACGGAAGCCACTAGCCAAAGAGCCAGGACTAGCAAGTCCATGACCTTCATGACTGTTAGTCGCCTGAACGCGACCGACAAGCGAAACCGCCTAGCGACGACCGATTGACGACGAGCGACGACCGAGGAGCGGCAATTGCCTAGAAACGGACGTCTTGGGATGAGTAGCTGTGTCAGGGAATTGACTGGCAGCAGCTTGGCGGCGAGTGAGTGGTAAAACGGAATTCAACCCGAATTGTGACAGAGGTTGCGTTCCTGCCCCTCGGGAACTCATCTGCTGCAACTCGCATTCCGGCATGGTGTTGGAGCAGTGTACAATATTCGTAAGTTATACTACTATTTCCATCATGTATCTAGTCAAATATCTTGATATATACAGACGGCCCAATGAGCCTCTCATACTAGGAATCAGGATACACATAAATTCGAAACCATGCTCTCCACCTGTGTTGTTCACTCGCACAACCTTGGAAAGCATTTTGGTAATGCCTCGGTTTTCGTAAGAAAACAAAAATGAATCTCCGATGGCTAGGATTTGTGCAAATTATTCAGTAAACAGGCCCCACTACCGAATACAGGCTTGCTCGTTTCATTGCGGCAACTCTCTTCTTCACCTATTGCCGGCTACCTAACCTCTTGGCTATCCCCTCAGGCATGCACCTCTACAAGTAGGGAAACAATCGGTGGTAAGGGAAAGGGTAGAGGGTGGGAGGAGCGGATAAGTCAACAGGGGGAGGGTGAGAAGTTAGGAAGGTGACATGGTACATGAAAGGGCAGCGGGGCAGGTAGAAGGAAGGGTGAGGTGGCAGAAAGACTAGGGACGCGGGTGAGATGGCATAAATCAGCAGTGAAGTATGGTGCAGTCAAATATGCATCGTCTGCTGTTCTCATCACCTGATCTGCTGTTCACCTCAGCAGCCAGTCCTTCGATCCATGGTATCAAGGTCGGGCATCCCCGTGCAGCCTCTCCTAGCACAACCACTCCCTCCCCCCTCCCCCCTCCTCCCCCTCCCACCAACCTACTCACTGAAACAACCCCCACTCACCTCGGCAGCCGGCCCTTTCATCCATGGTTTCAAGGCCGGGCATCTCCTTGCAGCCTCCCCCAGCGCAGCCACTCCTTCCTCCCGCTCCCACCATGTGTCCGTTGGCTCTCCCAGAGTACACATGGCGAAGCCTGATTGGGTGATGCCAGGGAAGTGTGCCAGCCGGGCAGTCTCCACGGGGAGGTTGATCCCCGGGCGCGACGACGCAACGCTATTGGCTGTGGCGGTGACAGCCTGGCGCGGGTCCAGGATGTAGCGGCGTGAGCCCTCCTCGTCCAGGCATTGACTGGGGCTGTAGACGTCTGTAGCAGAGCAGACCGGGTGGGGCCACCTGGGGGAAGAAAGAGGGAAAGGGGGGGAGGGGAGGAGGGGGAGGGGGAGGAGGATGTAGGAGAGGAAGCAGCAGCTGGAGCTTCTTTGTCTAGGCATTGACTGGGGCTGTAGACGTTTATGGCAGAGCAGACTGGGTGGGGCCACCTAGGGGAACGACAGGGAAGAGAATAATGGCGCTTCTCTCTGTATTCAACAACCAGTTTTCAACAGAAAATGTTGCTGAAGACGAGAATCTGTTGAGAACCGGGAGAAGCCTTCTAAGCCTACCTGGAAAGTCTATCGGGAGAACCAAGAAAGCGACTCGTTGATCACCTCCTGCTGAATCACCCACCTTCACCCCATTCTTTTCCACCTATACAACCTTTCACCCACCTCAACCACATCCTATCTGCACCACCTCTCACCCACCTGAACCGCATTCTTTCCACGGCCCAAGCAGCCTTCGCCAGATTAGCAGCCATCGCAGCTGCCCGTTTCCTCTCCTCCTCCCCTTCCTCCCCGCCCCCATTCCCCTCACCCCCTTCCCCACCCTCACCACCCCCCTCCCCTTCCCCTCCTGCCTGTGGCGGCAGCTGTAGCGGGGAGCAGAAGGAGCCGTTGAATACTGTAACGCCGAAGGTGAGCCACGGGCGGGACTCGTGCTCCTGTAGCAGCGTTGGCAGCGAGAGGGGCGGCGGGATTTGGAGGTACTCCTCGATGTCGGACACGAGCAGCCAGCGGGCGGTGTTGTGCGTCCGGTATATGCAGTCCTGGATGGCAAGGTGCTGGACGGTTTGGGGAGGGGGTGAGGGACGCGTGGTGGCGGGGTGAGGGTGGGGGGGGGGAGGAGAGGAGGGGGAGGAGGGTGGGTTATTATGGATGGGGCAATGCGGGGAAGAAGGGAAGACGTTGGCGTTGCTGCACAGTTGACCTTTGAGGAGCCTCAAGAGTCGGGGAAGAAGGGAAGACGTTGGTGCTGCTGCACAGTTGGTGGGAAACATGGAGTGCCGCTGCCATGTTGTGGCTCTGGTGGTGGGGAAATGAGCGAGGAGTTGAGGAGAAGGAGAAGACAGAGAGAGTGGGTTGAGAGTGGGTTCAAGCCCCATGCCTCGCTTTAGTCCCAACCACCCCCCTTACCTCGCCGTAGTTCCACAGGTCCCATTGCAGCACCCCTCTTTACCCCCATGTAACATGCACCATCTGCTTTTGAGTCGACTCAAAAGCTGAGCCGACTCAAAAGCAGACCCATTGCAGCACCCCTCTTTACCCGCATGTTACATGCACCATGCCTCGCTTGACCCTTGGCGCCAGCACCCACTGCTGCAGCTCCCTATTGCACACCGCCACACCCCCATCCCTGCAATACTTTCCACGGACCCCCAACCACCCCCCTTACCTCGCCGTGGTTCCAGAGGTCCCATTGCAGCACCTCTCTGAACCCCCACGTCACGTGCACCATGCCCCGCTTGACCCTCGGCGCCAGCACGCGCTGCAGCTCTTTATGGCTCGCCCCCACCGCCCCGTTGCCTGCAATCCCCCCGGCGTCATACAGCAGGAAGCGGTCGACTGGCAGCAGCACACGGTGGAAGTGCAGCCACTCCAGTAGCCGCCTGGAGTCCACCTCTCCGTGAATTGGTGACACACATGCAGCCACATTCATGGGGTAGGGCGAGGGGGGTTCCAATGCCTGTGGAAGGGGAGGGGAGAAAGGGCACAAGAATCTGGTAAGACAGATAAGTGGCTGTCATCCCATTGCGTGCGATTTCCCCACCGTCGTACAGCAGGAAGCGACCAATCAGCCAGCAGCAGCACGCGGTGGAAGTGCAGCTGAACAGCAAGAGGGGGGTTTGAAAAGGAGGAAGAAAGTTGGGTGATGAAGTGGGGTTCAACGGGACAAGGATGGACGGGGGGGGAGTAGAGTAGGACGAAGCAGGTATACCTCTATCCTCGCTTCCAGGTGCCACCTCTCTGGGTATCTCACTCATTCTCGTCCTCCCTGACAGAGAGTAGAGCATCTCACCTGGTTCGCCTCCTCTCTGTACGGGTACAGTATCTCCTGCTCTATCCTCACTTCCAGGTGGCCCCCTGCTGCCTTGGTGGCGCTGCTGAGAGTGCACAGGACCACTGCCACGTCATACTGCCACGTAGGCACAGAGAGGGAAGGAAAGGGAGAAGGGAGAAGGTGGCTGGGGGGAAGTGGAAGTTTAGCAACAGTCGAATGAAACCATAAGACCACCGAAAGCAGAAACATGCATGTACAGCGTACAATGTCGTTGTGGTGTTTGCCCAAAAACGCATGGAAAGGTCCCCATCAACGTGGCTGCCGTCAGTCCCATGCCACGTGCAGGCGGTGCAGTGCGATATGTTGGCAGCACAGGTGTGCGCATATAGCTCACAAATGTAGTTATGGTGTTTGCCCATGAGGTGCATGCTCAGCGCGGCTGCCGTCAGTCCCATACCATGTGCAGACGGTCAGGCGGGCGCAGTGCAACATCTTGGCAGCACGGTTGTGTGCATATAGCTCACAATGTAGTCATGGTGTTTGCCCACGTGCACATGGCACAGCCGCAGCGTAATCTCCTTGTAACATGGACGCATGCACTCTCACAATGTTGTCATGGTGTTTGCCCACGAGGTTTATGGAGAGGTCCCCGTCAATGACATTGTAACGAGGTGACTTTTGAGTCGACTCAAAAGTCACCATGCCCGCTCACAATGTAGTTGTGGTGTTTGCCCACGAGGTGCATGGAGAGGTCCCCGTCAATGCGGGTACCGTCAGCCCCGTGCCACATGCACATGGTCAGGCGGGTGTTGTTGCCCATGGACACCGGCACCAAGCCGATGATGGCTATGCGCTGTGCATTGATGCGGTAGGCACTGGTGGGTATAAGGGGGGGAAGAACCAGGTCAACAGGGAAGGGAGGGCGGGAAAAACAAGGTCAACGAAAGTCAACCTAAAGACGAAGGCACGACCATGCTGATGATGGTGATGCGCCATGCGCTGAAGCAGTACGCACCATAATCCTCAGTGCACAACTTGCACAAGAAGACCTACCTGAACTTGACCAAGTCTGCTTTTGAGTCGACTCAAAAACTTGCAGAAGTAGACCCACCTGAACTTGACCAAGTCTGCTTTTGAGTCGACTAAAAAACTTGCACAAGTAGACCCACCTGAACTTGACCAAGTCTGCTTTTGAGTCGACTCAAAAACTTGCACAAGTAGACCCACCTGAACTTGACAAAGTCTGCTTTTGAGTCGACTAAAAAACTTGCACAAGTAGACCACCTGAACTTGACCAAGTCTGCTTTTGAGTCGACTCAAAAATTTGCACAAGTAGACCTACCTGCGATGCGACCGGTCGTCCGTGATCTTCCACTGCGTGAACCCGCTCCTCCTCCATGGCTAGTGATACCCCTCTCTGTAGCTCGCATCCTTCCTTCCATGGCTACTGGTACCGGGGGGAAGCACTGCGTGGTATGCTTCCTTGTACCTCCCTCTTTCCTTCTTCCACTGCTGCCCACTACTGCTGCCACTGCTCGAATGGCTTGACTCACCTGAATTTCACGAAGCCATACGCCCCGTACTTCTCGAACACGCGCTGCCGCCAGTACTGTGGTCTATCATCCGTGATCTTCCACTGCGTGAACCCACTCTTCCTCCACGGCCGGTGGTACCAGGGAGCCACTGCATTGTATGCCTCCTTGTACCTCCCCTCCGTACTGCTGCTGGTGCTGTCTCCTTCACCAGCGGCACGAGCAAGAGCAATAGCAGCAGCAGCAGCAGCAGAGGCTTCAGAGCTGTTGTGCTGTGCCTGGTGAGACGAGTGGAGTGGCGCGGGATGCGATTGGTTTGGAAATGAGGGCAAGCACGAGGACACGAACGGGGGTTAGTGAACCTCCTGGTATTAAGAGCCCTACTTCTGCTTATACTCCAATCCAATGCCCCTCCGCACCCCTTCCTTTCCCCCTTCTTTCCTCCTCTCAGAAACCTGACCCCCATACTTACCTGCAGTCTGCCCAGCAGCACCACCTGCTGAGCTGCCTCCTCTCCCTACAGCTGACGGATTCTGAAAGCAGTCCAATCTCGGCATCAGGTCTATGCAACCCCCCCTCCTCACCCTTGCCATTTCTCACCTGCTGTCTAGCCAGGGTCACCTACTGTTGCGCAATCTCCTCTCCCTGCATCTGTACGTGGGCTTTAACCAGTCAGATTGCCGCCTGCAGCTGTAACCCCCACCCTTTCTTCATCCCCCTGCTTACCATTTCTCACCTGCAGTCTAGTCAGGGTCGCCATCTGCTGTGCAATCTCCTCTCCCTGCCTGCGCACGCGGGCTTTAAGCAGTCGAATCTCCGCCTGCAGCTGCTGCAGCCCCTCCTGCCCCTCCCTCAGCACCTGTGCTGCATCCCCCGCCGCCCTGCTGTTCGCCTGCCTCAGCTGCCCCACCTCCCTGGCCACCCCTTCCATTCCCACTGTCAGCTGCTGCCGCACCTGCTGTGCGTCTTCCTGCATGGCGCCTGGGGAAAGGGACAACGAGATCGGGAGGGAGGCGCATGTGAGCCGACGATGCATCCCCCGCTGCGTCGCTGGTCGCCAGTCTCAGCTGCCCCACCTCCCTGGCCACCCCTTCCATTCCTTGTGCTAGCTGCTGTGCTGCCGCACCTGCTCTGCGTCCTGCTGCATGGCGCCTGGGGAAAAGGAGAACGAAGATGGGGAGGGAGAGGACGTGAACCGGCGGCAATGCATCCCCCTCGCCTGCTGCTCGCCTGCTGCCTCAGACTTACTTCTTCCTGCAGCATGGCCCCTGGGGAAGAGCAAAACGGGGATGGGGAGGGAGAGGATGTGAGCCAAAAATGCATCCCCCTGCTGCCTTGGTGTTCGCCTAATGTAACTGCCCCACCTCCCTTGCCACCCTTTCCACTCCTTGTGCAATCAGCTGCCGCACCTGCTCTGCATCCTGCTGCATGGCGCCTGGGGTGTGGTGGGGGGGGGGGAGGGGTGGGGGCAGAGAGCACGGGGGAAACGAAATTAATGGGGGGAGCGGTGCGGGGAGAGCCGAAGCTGAAGGTGCCGCCGTGCTGCTTGCCGCCTGCCTCAGCTGCTGCCCCAACTCTCTCACCCGCCCTTCGCGCTTGCTTAACTCTCACACGCGTTATGAGTCCTGCTGTGTTGTGCCAATGGGGTGGAGAATTGGGAAAACGTGCACTGCACACAGTGAGAGTGCGCGGACAGATGTGGGTGTGAGAAGAGGGCCCTTGTATTGTATGCTACACGATTAACCTCTGCTACATCAAATCACACCACAAGGAACTGTGCTACAGGAATTTCTACAACATGGATATATGCTACATGAATGAATAAGACATGGAATTACACTGCATTTAGAAAACAACGGACGGCAAGGAGCGGGCTTACGGTGAAGAGCAGCGATGTCAGCAGCAGTGTATGCCAGCATGGCACGCTGACTCAGCTTCGTGCCAATTGGCTGCTGCAGAGCGCCGAATGGGGAAGGTGCCAGAAACAAGGGCATTCGAGGATGATGGGTAGAGTAAGAGAGTAGGGCAAGGAAGATTGAGAGAAACAGACCGAGGGAAGCAGGTTGCGTGCGCAACATGTGGAAACGGTTGGAAAATAGTGTTGGTGGAGAGTGGTGATTACAGTGCAAGGGGTAAAGTAAAGCTCAGGGAGGCAGGAGGCGTGTAAGGAGCTGAGAAGAGGGGAAGAGGAAACCGGCAGACAGGGGGGAAAACGAAAAGAACAACACTGATTCTGGAAGCGTACATACATGCGTGAAATACAACATTCAGGTCAGGAGCAGACAGGCATGTGCGTGAAATCAAGCATGTTCATCAGGTGTGATGTGTTGTGCGTAGCCCCGTCTTTGCAAGGTGTTTTTGAGAATTCGCAGCAGCATGCTCATCATCAGGTGTGTTGTGCGTACAATGCGTACATACCCCGGTCTTTGCAAGGCTGGCAAAGCCCTCTGCTGGCAGCTCCACGGCACTCAGCTTCTCCACCCATGTCACGCGCAGCTGGGCATGTTCGGAGGTCCACGGGTAATGCGGGAGACACATGCATGGAGATTCATGGAGATGCATGAATATGCATGAATATGCATGGAGATGCATGGAGATGCATGGAGATGAATGGAGATGCATGGAGATGCATGGAGATGCATGGAGATGCATGGAGATGCATGGAGATGCATGGAGATGCATGGAGATGCATGGAGATGCATGGAGATGCATGGAGATGCATGGAGATGCATGGAGATGCAGGGACAATCAATGGTTTAGCTTGGCTTTTTAGACAAGGGGGGTCCCACCCACCCACGGCACTCAGCTTCTCTGCCCATATCATGGCAGCTAAGCATGCGAGGAGAAGGTACAGGGTAGAATGGAGATGCATGGTGTTGCATGGTGAGTGGAGTGGATATAAGAGGGGTGCATGGTGGTGTTGCATCGGGTGAGGTGAGGAGAAATGAGCTGCGAGGGCTCCACGGCACTGAGCTGCTCCACCCATGACATGCACAGCTGAGCTGCTGCGAGGCACGTGATGACGTTGTGCGCATGGCATGGTCGATGCATGGCATGATGCATGTCATGTCATGGTCGATGCATGGGATGATGCATGTCATGTCATGGTCGATGCATGGGATGCTGCATGTCACGTCATGGTCGATGCATGGCATGCTGCATGTCATGTCATGAATGATGCATGGCGTGCTGCAGGTCATGTAATGGATGATGCATGGCATGTCATGGTCGATGCATGGCAAGAACAGGGATTTCCAAAGCATGAAGGGCCTCTGGAGAAGCGATGGGTGCACACACGGAGACGTACCTGTAGAGAGTGAGAGAGTACAAGTGAGTGTGAGAGTGCACCTGTAGCAGTGAGCAGAGAGGAGTACCTGGAGGAGAGAGACGAGGAAGAAGAAGGCGAGCACGGCGAGGAAGAGGTGCTGCTCCTGTATGGAAGGGAGCGGGAGGCAGGGGTGGCACGAAGGGGTGGGAAGAGGCTGCCATGGCGAAATGGATCGAGCGGGGGAAGAAAAGGGACTCCGGGATTGGAGCGACAGCGACAGATGCTTCGCAAGGTGATGGTTTGAGTGAAGCTGCGGAACCATTTCGCGATGGTCGATACCTGCTTCGCAAGGTGATGTATTCATGTCTTATGTTCGAATTATCGTACTAAAGGCTCTCGATAGAACGCTCATTCACGGCTATTGTTACGGCTAGTGGTAATACGATCATATTCATGGCGAATAATAATCGGCTCACATTCACGTGGACTCACTGGTAGGAGAATGCGAGACATTGCCATTCAGCAGCGGCGGTACAGAACCGGCGGTCTGAAGGGATAACGTCCCGCAGGGAAACTACTACATGAATCGACTCAAATCGTGCGATTTCAGTTCGCATAAATCCATTCAACAATACTTTCGTGGGCACAAGTCCTGCTATTCTGGAAGCGCAATGCTGTCGTTTGGAGTATTGCGTGCAGACTTTGGATGGAAGGACATAGTTTCACGACGCAGAAGCTGGCTAGAATCAACAGTATGACTTGTTCCAGCTACGGTAAGGCCATCACGCCAGTTGCTGGCTCTTGTGGGTCTCTGTTGAACTCGTTGGAAGGATAATGGAACGAGAAGCCTCATTGCAAGGACCGCTGAACTGGAATGTGCCGGGGATGGCTCACTTGTTGGTCCTTTGGATTTGTCCCTCTTGGAGCTGCGTTGCTGCCAGTATCATTTTAGTTGTGATATTTAGGTGAGTGTAGCACATAGTCAGCTCTTGGTAGTGGCACATATGTATGGTTAAACCCTGTCATGCTGAGGGGGTGTATGAAGTGAAACCGAGAATGACGTCCCGGGACGTCAGCGACGGCTTAGCGTGGTTACCCCATATAACAATTACTGTAGACACTCTATCAGTGTTCAGCAGAAAATACGACGGATCCGAGCTGAGGTCCCAGCTCATTTTGCGCTGCCCAAAGCAATGCCCGTGGGCAGGGGTCGAAAAAACAAAACCAAACATGCAGCGAAAGTACGAACCAGCTCGCGAGAGAGGGATTTTCGCAAGTGGAGTGCCACTTGCGCGGTGTGTTCCGAAAACGAACGTGATGTGCAATCCCTCGCTAGTTTCGCACGTTACAGCAATTTTATAGGCAAACCTTTTTGGTTACTTCGCGCTTCGGTTTTTGCACACTCAAATCAGTTTCCAGCATGTTTTGCATTTCGCCATTGTTCAATGCGCTTGTGCAGCCCTCGGAATAAGCAAAATTGACGTCGCGCGGACGTCGCCGAGTGATGTCAAAATGGATAATTGGGCAAGCCCGTTTACTTCATACACCCCCTGAGTACCATGTGTGCATAAACTTTTTGAGGCTAATCAGTCGAGCATTTTGGGCTAATCTTCGGAGGTCGTGCTCAATTTTGGGCTAATCTTTGGAGGTCGTCCTCCAGAAATTCTTGGAATGGCTCTGTCTCCGCCAAACCGAGAGTAATTCTCAGGGCGTATCCAAAGTAGAATTTTTGAAACTAGTACAGTAGTTGAAATAGCTGCAAAGCACAGAACCTATAGCAAAAGGCAGCTCGCCGAGCTGCATCAGAAACCGAAAACGATGAAGTTAATACTTTGTATGCGCCCTTACTTACAGTGGTGAGGGCTTACAATGATGAACTTCCCCAATTTATGGGGTTACAATCAAGGGGTTGGAAATCTGAGATGAAGACAGAGAGAGAACTCAAGAACTTTCGTGCTCATCGGTTCTTCATGTAAGTGGAATGGTACCTTGTATTCTGTTTGTGTGGCGATCACAGAACTTGTAGCACAGAAATCAGACTAGTAACGAGTTCGGCCTGACAGAATCTTTGCCAGCTACGTGGCTCCGATATGTTTTCGCCACGTGGAGTGTAACGTCCAATGCGAGTAACCAAGCTGATTCTCACGAAAGTTCTCCTGCTCGCAAGAGTATGTAACCAGCCAAATACGCTCAGAAGCATTTGACGAGACTTCTCAAGTTTGCTTGCTGGCGTGTTGGCAACGCGAACCACGTCATCCATGCTCCAGGTCACCATTGTCCACTTCCTTCCCTCGGTGGTGACGACAGCAAGACACCAGCAATAAGCTGTACAGCACCAAGTCGAGGAAGAATCTAGCATGTTCTTGATGTCTTCAATCTCCTAGATTCTAGCTCCGCTGTTGTTAGGGATTGCCGCTTCTCCCCCATTCCTGTTCGCTGACTGGTGCCTGTTCCCCCCACGTTCATCCTCTTTCGACACAAAATGGCCGCCATGTCGCTTCAGGCTCTCTCATCCGCTTCCACCGTCGCCACATCGCCGTCTCTCCTCACCACCTCGCCTAGCTCCCTTCGCAAGGCGTCCGTCACCACTCGGACGAATGCCGCGTTCTCCAAGAACCGGACAGCCGTGCGCGCTCTCAAGGTACGAGTGGATGTGCCACGATATTGTCTCTCTGAGAGCAGCTGCCCAATAACCTGAGGGGCGCGGGGAGCCGTGCGCGCTCTGAAGGTACGCTTTTGAATTGGCTCAAAAGCACTCCCAAGGTGCGCCTGGATGTGCTGTGAGTGTATCTTGCTTTGCTGTGTGCCGCGTTAACTCGTTCTGCGACTGATTCCCGATCTCGGAGCAGATTTCTACTCCAATTCTTCGGCGAGAGCATACTGAAACCGATCAATAAGAATATACTTCTCCCCATCATGCTCCTATGCGGCAGAGTCACAATACCGAGAGCGGTCACCAGCAGGACGGCGCGAACGAGACCTCGTGGGCGGAGCGATGGCGTCAGCAGCACGCGGCGGCGGCGGTGGCGCTCGCGGCAGCGGTGGCTGTGGCGGGCCCCTTCGTGCCCGATGCCGCGTTGGCCTACATCGTACGTGGGAATGGGAAGGGGGCAGGGTTAGGACGCCTGGGGATGCAATGGGAATGAGCTAACTTTTGAGTCGACTCAAAATTCAGCGGCGGCAATGGCGGGCCCATTTGTGCCCGACGCCGCGTTGGCGTACATCGAGGGGGGAAGGGTTAGGTTAGGAAGTGGGCCTGGGAGGCAATGGGAATGAAAGATGGTAAAAAGTATGAGAATGATAAAAAAGTAGTGCAATCGAGGAGTTGTGAATGAGAAATAACGAGTCCAGGCGCGAAGTAGCGCACCCTTTTCACCGCACTGCACCCCTCTGCATCCCTACAAGGGGTGGGTGCGTCGCCACGAAACACACGCGTCATATCGATCCACCATCACTTGCCCTGCCACTCGACCTTCCCCTCGCCGTGTGTCCCAGGGCGGAGGTCCCTATGGCCGGGAAGTGACACGTGGACAGGACCTGACAGGGCGTGACTTCAGCGGGCTGGACCTGCGAGGGCAGGACTTCAAGACGGTGAGCTGTCATCGAACCCCATACCTGTTGCATTGATCAACCCTTGGCTTTTAGTTCAACCCACATGCTGTCTGGGCGCGTCTTCAGCGGGCTGGACCTGCGAGGGCAGGACTTCAAGATGGTGGGTGGGCTTTCCTCAGAGTCCAAACCTGTTTCATTGGTCCACCTTATGTTGACTTTTCGTTCAACCCAAATTCTGTCGGGCGGATCCTCAGGGACCTTGGCCTGCGAGGGCAGGACTTCAAGATGGTGAAGTTTCTTAGAACGAAGCTGCTCGTTGACTCGCGTTGACTCGCGTTGACTGGTGTTGAAATGGGAAGACTGCATGCACTGAAGTTACTTCTCGCTGCAATGAGATCTGGCCTGACATGGCTTGGCTTGGCCTCCTAACCACCACCGTCCACGCCCCCCCCTCCCTCCCCCACCCCTCTGAACCTACCATCACCCCTTTCCATCCCTCTGCAGTCCATTCTCCGCCAGGCCAACTTCGCTGGAGCCAACCTTATAGGGGCGTCCTTCTTTGACGCCGACCTCACAGGTAACAACTCCCCCATGTCCCACAGGTAACACCTCCCCCTTCACGAATGCGACTTCACAGGTAGCACCTCCCTTTGCTGATGTGGCCTCACAGGTAACACCTCTAATTGTTCTCACGACTTGACCTCCCCACACCTCTCTTCCAGTAACAGCCTCGCATGCTTTTAATCCAGATTCTTCAGAAGCAAATCTGAAAGGTGCTGTCTTAATCTCCCACCCCGCTCCCCCGCTGTTCTCCCCCCACCTTCCCCCCTCTCATCCTCTCCCACGTGCTCTTCAACCTCTCGCCTCTCCCCAATCAGGAGCTGACTTCACGGGCGCCAATCTCACTGCCGCTGATTTCTCCCTCACCAGCGCGAACAAGGTGCGGCGTCACGTGTCAAGTTGGCCACTTGTTCCACCCCGTGCCCTCTCTCTCTCTTTCCTCCCTCCGTGCTCTCCTTTTGAGGCGCCTCAACAGCAAATTGCTCATTTCTTCCACCTCTCTTCTGCTGCCTAGCCCCCTGCTCTTTTCCCATAGGCTTCCTCAATTGCTTGCTCCGCCCCCTTTTGCTCGCTTCACCCCTTGCTCCCTTCCTGCAACGGTTGCTTGCTTGCTCCGTTGCACCCTTGCTCGCAGGCCAACTTCACCAACGCCATTCTAGAGGGCATCTCTTTCACCGGCAACACGTCCTTCAAGGGATCCATCATCACTGGCGCTGGTGAGGCCGTGCAAATCCCCTTCCCCAGTTCCCTTCCCGCCTCCGCCCCTGCCCCCCGCCCCCAACCCCCTTCCTTTTCGATTCATTCACTGGCAACACCACCTCGATCGTGTACTTGTGTGCAGTGGTGTGCTCCGCCATGGTGCGTGTGCCATGGTGCGTGTGCTATGGTGCGTGTGCCATGGTGCGTGTGCCATGGTGCGTGTGCCATGGTGCGTGTGCCATGGTGCGTGTGCCATGGTGCGTGCGCCATGGTGCGTGTGCCATGGTGCGTGTGCCATGGTGCGTGTGCCATGGTGCGTGTGCCATGGTGCGTGTGCCATGGTGCGTGTGCCATGGTGCGTGTGCCATGGTGCGTGTGCCATGGTGCGTGTGCCATGGTGCGTGTGCCATGGTGCGTGTGCCATGGTGCGTGTGCCATGGTGCGTGTGCCATGGTGCGTGCGCCATGGTGCGTGTGCCATGGTGCGTGTGCCATGGTGCGTGTGCCATGGTGCGTGCGCCATGGTGCGTGTGCCATGGTGCGTGCGCCATGGTGCGTGTGCCATGGTGCGTGTGCCATGGTGCGTGTGCCATGGTGCGTGCGCCATGGTGCGTGTGCCATGGTGCGTGTGCCATGGTGCGTGTGCCATGGTGCGTGTGCCATGGTGCGTGTGCCATGGTGCGTGCGCCATGGTGCGTGTGCCATGGTGCGTGTGCCATGGTGCGTGTGCCATGGTGCGTGTGCCATGGTGCGTGTGCCATGGTGCGTGTGCCATGGTGCGTGCGCCATGGTGCGTGCGCCATGGTGCGTGTGCCATGGTGCGTGTGCCATGGTGCGTGTGCCATGGTGCGTGTGCCATGGTGCGTGTGCCATGGTGCGTGTGCCATGGTGCGTGTGCCATGGTGCGTGCGCTACTGCCCTTCAGGATCCCGCCTTTCTCACTCCCTTATCTTGCAGAGAGTTTTTGAGAATTCTCAAAAACACCCTAGTATCCCACCGCTCACCAACACCATCACCAATGCCCATCTTCACCACTGCCATTGGCACCCGTGCAGACTTCACAGACGTGTTCTTCCGGGCGGACCAGAAGGCGTACCTCTGCAGGGCTGCTGAGGGGTGAGTCGTGGGGGGGCCTACAAGTGACATGCGCATGCGATGCAGTTGCTGTCTTTCCTGCCGTGCCTGTAGCTCACCAGAAGGCATACGTCTGCAGGGCTGCTGAGGGGTGAGTTGTGAGGGACACACGCGGCATGCACATGCTGTGAGCTCTGCTGAGGAGCGAGTGTATGGCTGTGGGTCGCCATGCTGCCATTGCACCAGCTGCATCCCTGCATTCTTCCGGTGCTGTCCTACCCTCGCTTGCTTCGCCCTGTTGCTTCCCTCCCCATTCCTATCCCTCGTACTGATTCCCTTTCCCTCTTCTCCCCCCTCCCCCCTGCTCCCCTCCTCTCCATGGCCCTTCTGGCTGGCCCCTTTCCCATGCCCCTTTTCCATGCCCCATTACCAACTTGTAATCAGGACCAACCCTGTCACTGGCAACGACACTCGTGATACTCTTCTCTGCTAGCTTATACACTCCTGTCACCTTGCCGGTCCCTCAAAGTATGTTGTTGAGATGCTACGGCTTCCCCCTTCTCTTTTCCCTGACTGATTAGGTAGCATCTGTACATTTGAATGTCAAATCATATCTATTACATTATATATATAAATATTTGTTTAGGCTTGGTAGGTGTGCTATATTGCTGGATCCTACTGTATAGGGGTCAACCCTCCCTTCTTCTATCTCTTTCTCTTCCTAGTTGACACTCTTTTCACTCGTAACTCTTTCCCCCCTAGCTAAATCTCTCGACTTTTCTCATGGCTGCTTAGCTAGCTCCTAAACGCCCTTTCAACATGGTTTCAGAGCGGGCCCGCCCGCTCGAGCCTTCTCCTCACGCTTCCGCAGCGTACTCTCCTCCCTCCTGTCACTTCCGCGCCGCCATGGCAGCCATGTCGTACTGCCCTGGCGGCTTTGTCGTGCTGCCGTGGCAGCCTCGACGCGCTGCCGTGGCGTCGAAGCCACGCCGTGGCGGCGTCGTTGTGCTGCCGTGGCAGCGTCGACGTGCTACCGTGGCATCGACGCCACGCCGTGGCGACGTCGTTGACGCGTCATCGCACGGGCGGCAGCGGGCCGCGCAATGTTTTAGGTGCCAGCCGTACGCCCGCACTACAACCAGCGCGCCAGCCAGGGCGCCTCGCTGAAGCCACGCTCCCCCCTCCCCCACGCCACCCCTCATTCCAGCTTCAGCTGATGATTATCTTCCTGGTCGTCGCCGGGTCGTGCCACACCGCCGAGTGCCGCGAGCTTAGCAGTTGCCGCAGCCGTTGTTGAAGCAGCTGCCACCGATGCAGGTGCAGCTGGCTCCGCCGCCACCCACTCCGCCGCCGCCACTGCCGTCGTCGTTGAAGCCGCCTCAGACGCCTTTGCTGCAGGCCCCCAAATTGGTTTTGGGGGTGTCTGATTCATCAGACTTGCCTGCCATCCCTTGGTATGGCCATCAGAGTCGCCCCTAAAAAAAAGTCTGAAAAATCAGAGTAACAACAGTTTTTTTGTCTGATTAGTCAGAGTTGTTAAATTATATATTTTGTTATATAATTGGTCGGCTTGGTAGGTGTTACTGAACTCTACTGTAGAGGGTACAATCCCCTCCTTGTATCCCTCTCTCTTTCTATTCTGACCCTTTTTCTCTCCTCAACTTTCTCCTTCCTAAACCTCACGCCATTCCATGGCTTCCTCCTACTCCTAGCTACCTTAGTTTAAACATGGTTTCAAAGCAGGCCCCTTTCACTCGGGCCTTCTCCTCACGCTTCCGCAGCGTACTCCCCTCCCCCCCCCCCCCACCCCGTCACGCCACGCTGGCCCCGTCATGCCGCGCTGGCCCAGTCACTCCGCGCTGGCCCCGTCACGCCGCGCTGGCCCCGTTACGCCGCGCCGGCCCCGTCACTCCGTGCCGGCCCCGTCCCTCCGCCCTGGCCCCGTCATGCCGCGCTGGCCCCGTCACGCCACGCCGGCCGCGTCACTTCGCGCCGGCCCCGTCCCTCCGCGCAAGCCCCGTCAACCCGCGCCAGCCCCGTCACTCCGCACCGGCCCCGTCACATCGCCGTGCCTCGGTGCCGCCACGCCGCCGTACCGCTGGGTCGCCGTGCCGCCGTGCCGTCGTGCTGCCGTGGCGGCTTCGCCACGCCAGCGCACGGACAGCTGCGGCCAGCGCCCTGTCCTAGGCGCCAGTCGTAACGCCCTCACGCCAGTAAACGTCGCGCCAGCCATGGTGCCTCGCTGAAGATTCCTCCCCCCCCCCTTCCTATTCAAGTGAACGAATGTCTAGAACAAGGCATACAAGGGAATATAACCTAATGGGTTGTACATGTTAAGGCACACCCCTATATAGCCTACAGAAACATACAATATATGTTTGACACACCCCCTAGATTGGATAGGGGCAGCCCGATGAGAGAGAAACAACTCAGGGTGGCACTACTAGTCCAGCCTCTGAGGCAGGGGTCTAAAGACCAGTCAAACAAGTACAGACAAGGCAAGAGCAAGACCAGGGTGGCACTACTAGTCCAGCCACTGGGAAGAGGCCCAAGGCCAGTCAAGGTAATATATATAAAGGTCTGTACACAATCAAGGTCCTAGCAAGTCAGAGGCTACAGGAACGAGACCTAGCTGTACACAGTGCCGCTGATGATATTTAGGCGCAAGTGCCTTAGTAAAGATATAAGCCGTGTTGGCACCGGAGGCCAAGTGTACTACACCAGCCTGGCGACGCTGCTGCAGCTCGCACATGAGGAAGTACCGCAGCTGGATGTGCTTCGCTCTGCCCACAAGTCGTGGCTCCTGACACAGAAGGATCATGGCCCTGTTGTCAGCGTACAAAATAGGGGCAGAGCTAGGCCGCACACCCAAGTCTGTGAGCAAGAGGGTCAACCAGCGGAGCTCCTGTGCCACCATGGCACCTGCGTAGATCTCAACCTCACAGCTAGACTGGGCAACAGATGAGGAACGGGTGGACCTCCACGAGATGGCACCTGCACCAAGGCTAAAGGAGTAGCCCTGTGAGGACCTGAGAGTTTAGGCGTCGTCTGCCCAAGAAGCGTCTGTGTGCTCGGTAAGGACCACTGGTCCACGTCCTCCTAGCACTAGCCCCATGCCCGATGTACTTGCTAGATAACGCAAAACCCTTTTACCTGCCGACCAGTGCTGTGGTCGGTGTCTGCCTGGGGCCACAAAGCGAGCCAGGATGCTGAGAGGGTATGCGAGATCTGGACGAGTGCAAGTCATTAGGTACATCAGGCAACCCACCAGCTCTGCGTAGGGACCACTAGGCTCTACAGCCTTATCAGGGACTGGGGCAGAGAGTCTGTGGTCTACTGACAGAGGGGTGGGCTATACGGAAGAGAACCGAAGGCCGAACCTCTGAAGGACCTGGCGCACGAAGTGTGACTGTGAGAGAGTGATGGTGCGCGCTGCTCTGTCCCTGGAGATCTGCAAGCCAAGGTAGCGGCGCAACTCTCCTAGGTCAGTGCAGGTGTGTCTCCTTAGCAGCTCGGCCTTCATGGCGGCAAGTGCGTGTCTTTCTGCAGTAGCAAAGACCAGATCGTCTACGTAGACAAGTATGTAGAATGGAGTCGGATCGGAACGGACAAAGAGCGAGAGGTCTGCAGACGAAGGGAAGAACTGCAAGTCAGCAAGTGTTGCAGGCAACGTGTCGTGCCACTCACGGGGCACCTGTCGCAAGCCGTAGACGGGGCGCTGGAGGAGCCACTCGGTAACAGGGGGGAAGGTACCAGAGAAGCCCTGTGTGCGGCGCAGGTAGACCTGCTCGTGTAGACTGCCCTGGAGGAAAGCTGTGGAGAAGTCGAGGGAGTGCAGCTCGTAGTCACTCTGTGCTGCTATGTGTAGCAGTGGCTGAAGAGTGGTCGTCTTCGGGGTCGGAGCGAAGGTCTGAAAGAAGTCCACCCCCTCACGCTGACTGAAGCCTCGAGCGACGTAGCGCGCCTTGAAGACATGCGGCTCTCCTGGACGGCGCTTCACCTTGAAGAGCCACCGGCCATCGATTACGTTCAGCCCATGCGGGGGAACTACGTTGACGAAGGTACCGGTGGATCTCCAAGATGCCATCTCCTGCTCCATGGCAGCTATCCACCGAGAGGCCCAGGGGCCCGAGGTGGCCTCAGCGTAGGTGCGAGGGGTCGGGATGTCGAGGGCGTCTGGGTCACCCTCAGGGACTAGTAGCATGGAACAGAGATGGTGAGCGGCCTCAGACAGGAAAGCAAGCTCGAACTGCCTGTCCTCTAGGACATCACTGCCAAGAGCAGCCACACCCCCGACGATCGGAGGGCAGGCAAGGTCAGAGACCAGAGTGGTGGCGTAGTCCAGGCGGTGGGTAGCGGCGAAGTCAGTGACAGTAGCGACAAGAGCCGACAGACTCGAGACAGGAACGGACGGGTCGGTAACGAGAGAGGCAAGGACACGAGGAACAAGGGGACGCGCAGCACGGAGGAAGTCCGACAATAGAGGGGGGGCCACAGCAAGCGACGACGAAGGAGGAGACGGGAGGAGAGGAGGAGCACGAGACGCGTGAGAGCGAAGCACCATAGAGTGAGAACGCGGAACAGGGGAGGTAGGACGAGCACGAGACGGACGACAAGAACAGACGTGAGACGGAAGAGTCGGGTTAGGAGAGAGGGGAGGAGACACAGGAGGAGAACGGGGAGGGAAACGAGCCGGAGAGGAGTCCGGGGGAGGAAACACGGGGCTGTGGATCGGCAGAGGAGGAGGCAGCGGCAGCGGGGGAGGCAGCAACGGGCGGTCAGGGGAAGGGAGACAAAGGAGGCGAAGAGCAGACACCGGCAACGACAGCTGCGACTGCTGCCCGACTCCAACACCAGAAACTCCAGCGACAACACGGCTCCCTCCGAGAAGCCCCACGCCAGCACCCCCAGAGCCCGCTCCAAAACCAACTCCAGCCCGCTCCCCAGCACCCCCAGAGCACACGAACCCCAGCGGTGGTGACGACGGCGGCTGCAGCTGCGGCGGCTACGGCGGAGGCGGCTGCGGTGAGGACAGCAGCGGCGGCGACAGGGGAGGCGAGACTGGGACAGGGACTGGCAGGGGAAGAGACTCCGCCGAGCCGCGAGAGTCAGCGGACTCCTCAGTAGGGACAACCGACGAGAGGGGGGTGACGTGAGACACACCAGACGGGGCAAGGCGGGGAGGGGGGTGGACAGGGTCGACCGGGGGAGGGGGGGGCACCAGGAATTGGGGGGAAGTGACCGGGGGACCACGGGGGGGGAAAGCGGTGGTAGAAGGAGACGGACTCGTCAAAAGTGACGTCACGAGAGTGAAAGAACCGGTGAGAAGGCGGGTGGTAGAACTGCCAGTCCGACGAGTCGAGGGGGAAACCTAGGAAGACACAGGGGATAGTGCGGGCAGTGAGCTTGTCCGTGCCAGAGGCACAAACGTGAGCAAGGCAGCCCCACACGTGGAACGTAGACGGGTCATCAGGGGACCCGGTCCAGAGGAGGGTCGGTGAAACCTGCGACCGCTGAGGGTGCGGCTAAAGGTTAAGCTGGTGAGCGGCGTAGCGAACAGCGAACGGCCATAGAAAATGGGGTGCACCCGATTTCAGCGAAGGTACGAGCAACCTCCATGACCAAACCGATGCGTCGCTCAGCGACCCCATTCTGCTTCGGGGAGTCCGGCAGGGTGAACGTCTGGGTGATGCCCTCTGCACGAGAGAAGCGACCAAGGCAGCCAGAGGCAAACTCGCCACCACGGTCGGAGTGAAGACGCAAGTCAGGGAGACCTCGGTGAACACGCGCAGAGACAAGTCACGGGAGAAGAAGGTCAGGAATGTCGGCCTTCCGCTCCAAGGGAAAGACAGTGGTGTAGTGGGTGTAGTCGTCGACAAGCACTAGGAAGTAGCGCTCGCGACGCGGCCCTTGGACGGGGGCAGGGCCCCATACGTCCATGTACAGGGTCTGCAGCGTTGTGGAGGTAGGGGGAACGAAGAGGAGTGAGGGGCACGGCGGAGCCGGCCCTGGACACAGGGCATGCACGGAGGCGTGGGTGAGGAGGGGAGCACAGGGAACGACTCAAGGAGGCCTAGGACAAGACGGTGCTGGGAGATGTGATGGAGACGGGGGAGGGCAGGGTGACCTAGACGGTGGTGCCACAGAAGTGACGGGTGAGTAAGCGACCGACACGAGCACGCCGCACCAACCTAGGAAGACGCAGGTACCTGAGGAGGCGTCCCAACCGGGGGGAAAGCGATGTCCAGCGTGAACAGACCAGACACCGGGTCCCGGGGGAACGTGGTGGGGGGGGCACCAGTGGCGGCCTCAGTACAGACAGCGTACCGCTCATGCCCAGGGAACATAGTGGTGACGCCAAGGTCCTGGAGGCAGCCGACACCAACTAGGTTCTTAGAGAACGAGGGGATGTGCAGGCCTATAAGGGAGCCTGAGGGAACCGCCGGACAGGGGAGAGTAGTGGAGCTACGGGCAACTACAGGACCGGAGGAAGGGTCTACAAGAGCAACTGCAGCAGGAGCAGCAAGCGGCGTAAGCGTCGTGGAGTCGCGAAAGAAACACCGGGAAGCGTCGGAGTCCAGGGTGAAGGAGAGCGCGACAGCGGCGACAGAGGTCGAAGGAGAGAGGGACGAACCTAGGCTAAACAA